TTGTGTTTTTGTCTTCTGCTTCCTTGAGAGTGTGTTAGTATAGCTTGCCCTAATAATCCAATGAACCGTTGCCCATCTTGCTCATCTCCATTTCATTCTTTTCACCCGTTGCGTATGCCTCGCAAATCGAAAACATGCAAAAGGAACCAAAGCAGCCAAAGGCCTATTGCAGCTGCACCCGGCGAAACCTCGTCACAACACACACTGTCTATATATAGAATCATCTACGCATCGCCTCTAACCAATGACCGGCAGTATCAAGTGATCTGTTGGTCAGAGGCCAAAAAATGCAAACCTGTTGGGGTCCTACGAGTCTCGCCTTGCTTTCTCTCCTGAAAAGGAGTTTGTTTTTTTGTGAATTCCTGGCAGGTCCCGGGTTCGAGTGGTGCAGTCGCTATTTTCTTTTTGCCGAAACGGGCAGGTACATACATGTATGTTACGCGTCTTGTATGGCAAGATGTGAATGAAATTGTTTTTGACTGACAATCGTGTCCATGGTGTGGCGGAGATGTACCGGGTGTGTCGTGAGGGCCATTCACTCCGTGCTGCCGGGAAGTCCGATCCGCTTGGCCCTCGCTATCTCAAGAAGCGAATCAGCGTGATACCAGCTCGTTCCATTGCTCTATAAGTGGTGAGAGCAGCCATCCCAGCGAGCCTCTCGTCCCATGCTCGAGCATCAGGCCCACCATCGGATGTCAGCCACGACGGATCTTCTCATGATGGCTTTCGTTTCAGAAGCACCGCTTCATAGTCTCCGCATGCTTGGCCAGGACTCCTTGAAGACACTTAGTCCAGCACAGTGATCGTGCTGCATATCCAAAGGATTCCAGGACAGCTACCCACCCCTCCACCTCATACTCCCATCAGCAACCAGCGTCCTCAAAACCTCAATCTCCATCTCCCTCGCCTTCGCCCTCGCGTCCCTCACATCCTCCCTCCCCTTCGCAACAGCATCAATCCTCCTCCTCCCATCCCCAAACACCACCGTGAAATCCTCCAACACCTCTCCCTCCGCAACAACACAACAAGCCCCAACACGACACCACCTCCCAAGCACAGCCCCGGCGCCAACCCTCGCATTAACTTCAATCATACAGTGCTCCCCTACACGTATAGCAGCCACGCTCGCTCCGGCCTCAATCCCAACCCCGTCTCCAATGACCACCACCCCCTCGTCCTCCCCACCATCAACCCCTCTAGAAACCCGCGACCCCACAACCGCCTTCTCAGAAACAATACACCCCCTCCCAATCACCACCCTCCCAAACTCAGCATCGATCCTCGCGTACGGGTGCACGAACGTTCCTTCGCCGATTTCGATCCCGTGTGCGCCGGTTAGTTGCGCTTTGTCCGCTATGATGGCTGTAGAATGGAGTTTGCAATTTGCTGAAGGGGCGGAGAGGTTGGGGGCGGTGGTTGTGGTGTTTGATAATCTGCGTTTGGATTTGGTGGCCATTGTTGATTGGGGTGCGGTTGATTGTTTGGGTGTGGATCAATCGAAGAGGAGGTGAGGTTGCTCGCGCGTGGTGGTAAGGCGTGAACTTTATTTTACGAACGGCGCGCGAGGTCAGGTGACTATTGTGCAGAAGATAGCAGAATAAGATTTACTGGGCAGTAAATCAGACGCTGATGGACGGTTGATTTGACACTATTGCGCCAGCACCACGAGGGCTCTAGTAAACATCTACACTCGAAAGCGAATAAGAAAAGAACACCCCAGACGCCTCGCTAATCCCTACACACTCGAGTCTGTGCGAACCATCTTTCCAGGTAAGAGGCAAGCAAGCTCCGTGGCGCACTCTAGACGGACGACACCGCGCGATCCTGCACCCGCACGCTCTCATCCACAAGCTCGGGATAAGTGGCCTTGAAGATGGAGCCGACGGACCAATTCCTCAGATCCATCACGTGCGACTCGAAGACGGGATTCATCTCAGAAATGGGTGCCCCGAGCGCGTCGCGCTTCGTCGAGGAGGGCATCAAAACGTGATCGGGAGGGTAGGGCCAGTTGACGCTGATGGTTCCCGAGAAGGGAATGAAAAGGTCCTCAAACCTGATGTGGCTGGCGGTGGTGCACATGCGCACGCGCATAAAAGGCCAGCAGAGGTGGTCCACCCACGCGGGATGCGGGTTGTCGAGCTGCTCTCTGACGGGCTGGATCCAGGATGGGAGTCTTTCGTAGCAGCTCTCGCATGGGCAGATCTGCCATCGCAGGATGAGGAACATGAGGTAGTGTACTCCGACGCGCTCGGGGAGACCGTCGATGCCGGGGAATTTGAAGAGGATGTCGGTTAGGAGGGCTGAGATGGGATGAGCAGAGGTTGTGGAGGCAGAGCCTGGATCGCGAAGGCCATCCAACGTTGGATAGAAGGGTCCTATGACTTCGCTTAATGGGGTGCCGCTCGCGAGTTGTGCGCGCCGATCGTTCAGGAAACCGAGCAGGAGTGCGTCTAGGGGGAGGACTGGAGAGGAATTGGCGGGCACCCTTGCGTACAGTGGCTTCTCCATACCAGGAGAAGGGTTCGACTGCGGAGACTGCGAGGTAGGCGCGGACGTGACCATATGCTGCTGTCTGGGTCCAAGAACATAGTTGAGACCATGCCGCTCACCGTTCATCTGCCCCAGCATCGCAGCTGGGGGAGGCAGGCGGGGCTCATATGGAGCGCCAGTAAGTCCGGAATAGTGAGAGGATGCAGCTGTATCCAGACGGGTTTCATGCGGACCACCAGGCGTGGAAGAGTGAGACTGGCCAGCAGAACTCGGCCGGGTGCTGGTATGGGGCGATCTCAACTCCGGATGCAGAAGCTGCTGCTGCTGCTGCTCGTAGGGCGAAGCGGAGACACTGTGAGGGAAGTGCGGAGTCTGAGGCGTGTTCAAGGGTGGAAGGGGAGATTGCTGCGCAGTCAAAGTGGCGAGCTCTGCATTGCTCTCTGTGAGCCACGCGGGATCGGGAGAGCGGTCAACGACAACGTCAAACGTACCGTGAAGATTGGGCTGGGCCGGCTGCGATTGGTGGGAAGGGGGATGTCCGCCACCCACCACGCTCTGCACCACTGCCAGTTTATTCCGGAGCTGCTCGCATTCCGCCAATGCTCGATCACGTTCGAGGGCGAGGCGCTGGATCTCTTGAAACGGCTGGCCGGTCTCGAGCTCTTTAATCCGACGCTCCAAAGTCTCGATGGTGTTCTTCGTCCTCTCGCGGATGGCTCTTTGCGCTTCGCGGTCGTTTGCTCGTTTCTTCGCCAGCTGATCGGGCGTCAGGTTGGCCACCCCCCTGCTGCCCGGCACTCCACTGGCCTTCCTCTTGCGGCCATGGGGCGGCGTGTTCGCATTTGAGGTCGGGGCATGATGTTGCGACAAGGCGGCGGCAGCGGTGGCAGCAGCGGATGATGAATAGTCGGCCTGGGAGGGAGGATGGAAGGGATGCACTTCCGAGTTGCCCGGGGAGGGGTTCATCATGCTGCGGCGACGACGAGCGGCGATCCGCCGATGTGCTGGGATGCGTGTGTCAGGGAATTCACGACTCGTGTGACGACCGGAGTCAGGAATCATTCGCAAAGCCCAAGCCCCGCGCGCTAAAGCCTCGGCGCCGAGTCATGAAACTTTAAACGCGTGCACGTGTCGGCGCTGACAGTGAATGCCACATTACTCGAGATATCAGATCCATGTCAAAGAAGACAATTCTGCCAGGGCATCACGGTGAATTGCTGCAAAATGATCGGATGTGAACTGCCGTAGGACCCACATCATCGGTCACTCAATACTACATACATCTGCTGCACGCATTCCATCCCCTCCCCTATCAACTTACTGCGCATAGGCCAGGCAGTGGATGCTATCGAGCAGCATCAAGATCTGCGCGCTGTCATCCTTCCTCAGCCACTCCCGCTCCGTAGCGAAAGTCTCCCGACTCAGGCCCCATTGCACCGCCGCTCGCCGTTGCTCTTCGGTCAATACGCTGATCTCCCGACCCGACATGAGCTGCCCCACAATGCGCATGACGATATGGAAGGGGAGCGGGCAGGGTGACGAGGGGTTGCGGAATGGGCGCCCCTCTGCCCTCTCCTGTCTTGTCCACGCTTGCTGATGGCGAATGAATCGCATGGGATCTTGGTTGCGGATCATCAGCACGTTCAGCTTCTTGACCACACTGTCGAGGTCGTTGCCCTCGCTGAAGGCACCTTTGCGATGCTTTGGCTTTTGGAAGAGCATTGGCGTGATGGGAGTGTTGGTCGCATCCGTCAGTGCAGTCTCGCGTGTGCTCACGGCCAGCCTCGAAGCATCGCATGCTTGAGAATTGTGGCCATTCATGCAGAGCCGGTGGCCGGACTCGCCGACGGCACTGTCTTGGGCAGCCAGTATAGCTGGTACCGGTGGCATGCTGGGATCAGGAAGCGAGGAGAAGGACTGAGGACTGTCGGAGCATTCGCCGGTCATGGGAGTGACGTAGAGGAGAAGCCGAGAAATATTGACGAGTGTCAAAGCTGCGTGCCACAGTTCGACACTGAACGCTCCATCTCGGGCAATGATGGCACGCTTGAGCCTCTTGCGAGCACTGTCAATCTCGTTCGCTTCTTGTTCGCCGGCGTCCGTGGATCGGAGAGATTTGATGCTCGTCCGTCGGTCCTCTTTGACTGCAGTCAGGGGCGCTCCGGCTGACGACTTTCTTCTGTTTCCTCCACCGTCTCCGAACAAGCTGTCGACGTCGGTGTGATCGGTGTCTGCCGCCATCTTGTTGTCCTCCACCATTGTCTGCCATCTTCTGGCCTCCGCCTTTTCGAGTAGTTGGACACCCTCTCTTGACAACACCCCGTCATGCGTCCATTCCAATCCTCTGCCACCTTTGTCTTGTGCGCGAGCTGTTGTCGGAGTGGAGTCTGACTGGGCAGGAACGAGATCTGGAAGCAGTTGGTTGGGGTAATGGTGATCTTCGAGGACGTAAGACAGCCACATGGCGCCAGAGTCGTTGAGCCCGATGTCGCGGAGGGAAATGTAGGGAATGGAGCGGAGGCCACACCTTGTGCTCATCGGTTCGCCAGAGATGTTTGATGCGAGATCGCTCTGTTCGCGCTCTGGCTCTTCATTCTGCTCCGCGCGAGACCTTGACATGCTGCTTCGCGCCTGTGGAATAAATGCATCTTCGTCGCTCACCGATGGAATGGGATCAATGTGGGGCTCAGAGACGTGTGTGCGAGCAAGAATCTCCAGTGCTCGACTGCCCAGATCTTGGTTGCCGCTGAGGTCGAGTCGTCGCAGTCTTGAACAGTGTCGGAAAGCTTTCAAGAAGGAAGCCCAGTGCTCGGCTGCGTCTTGAGTGGTCACAGTGATCTTGTTGTTGGCCAGACTCAGGACCTTTAGCTCGTTCTTGGCCAGCTCGATGACGCGAGCAAGGGAGGGGAGGGAGGCTGTGGTGATGGCGTTGCTGGAGAGGTCGAGGACTTCGAGGGCCAGAGAGACGTCTCCGTTGGTGGAAAGGGCAGCGTACAACCCATCCAGCAGCGCGCAGGTCCCTTCATCGCCGAGATCCTTGTTGGGGGCGATGAGTTCGATGACATGAGCGGTTGGAGCAGGAGGTGCATCGGTTGGGGCAGAAGAGCTGCTGGAGCTTTGCTTTCGGGCCTTGATGGCTTGCTTCTCCGCGTCCTTCTTGCCCTTTTCCGCTTCCTTCTGCAGGGCGGTGCCGATGATGTGGCCTAGCTTGGCCCCGGAGTTGGGGCGATTGGTGTAGTCGAACTTGTTGGATTTGCCCATGATAGCGGACGGTGCTTGCTGAAGGGAGAAAAGATGGGCTGGAAGAAGACTGAGGAGTCGGTGGGGTTGGAGACTGCATATAATTCAGTCTGCTTTCGGTCGAAGAGCGGGCTGAGGTGAATGAATGAGGTGTCACGGTGCACACGCGGCTTGGAGGAGAACTGTTTGCTGTGTGGACGTGGTTCTCGAGGCTTCCACGGCGGGAGTGCGAAGAGGGAATGACGTGGTTTGCAAACAGTGATGGAAGGCAGGTGCGCGCCCGCGATTTCCGACTTGGACGACGGCAGGCAGGAAGGACCAACCTACGATTTGCGGACGCCTGCTGCGAGCCTGGTTGAAGGATGTCAGTCTTCACTGTTCGTCTTCTGCCGTCCTACTTACACGTAACAACATGCAAACGGCGTTTGGCGTGCCGTCTTTATTGATCAAGTCGGACCACCAATGTCCCTACCCACCTTGCCGCCCGCTCAAAGACGCCCAAGATCACGTGGGCTTGCTTGCTTTTGCTGCGTCTGCTCTGTCTCTTTGCCAGCATCTTCTCTGCTGTCTCTCGCCGAGAAGTCACTCTCGTACAGATTACCTACATCTCAACTTTGAGAGGCTTCGGTCTCCCCCACTCGCCCGCCCCTTGCGATTTCGAGCAAAGCGGTTGGAGGAACCATACCGTCGGGCCCGGCATTGTGAGTGCATAAGAATGACTCAAACGTCGCACGGCTGGCGGCCTGCATTCTCCAGCACCACCGAGCAAACAGTACCGAGAGATACGACACGTCGAGAGCGCAAACAAGACGTGCGTAGACTGTGTAGGTCGTTGACATTCGAGAGGCGTTGAGCCGTCTTGCCTGAAGCTCCTGGCCGGACCCCTGCCGGGCCTTGCGCCGGCTCCACCAAAAAGTGCAGCGCAAGTCGACGTCACAGCACTTGCCACCAAACACCAACCACCAACACCATCCTCGACCAAAGCCACGGCGAAACTCCCTCTCCCACGCTTACCCTACCTCTTCACCGCCCTCATCCTCGCTCTCCTCACCCCCCTCCTCCTCCCCCTCCCAACCATGCCACGCAAACACAGCAAAACAGCCTTCTCATCCGCCGATCCAACAACAACAATCACCCTCCCCGCCGAAGAAATCCCCACCCCCAAAACCTTCACCGACGGCCTCCCCCTCCCCAAACTCTTCGTCTTCGACCTCGACTACACCCTCTGGCCCTTCTGGGTAGACACGCACCCCACGCCCCCACTAAAGAAATCCACCGACGGCGGACTCACAGTCAAAGACGCGCACGGCGGGCGCCACGGTTTCTACAACGAGGTCGCGGGCGTGCTGACGGCGATCAAATCGCGGGGCTTCCAGCTCGGCGCTGCGAGTCGGACGTGCACGCCTGATCTTGCGAGGCAGATGCTCACGTACCTCAGTATTCCGTGGGAGGGCACGGCGCAGCCGGCGGTGGAGTTGTTCGATTACCTTGAAATGTATCCCGGGAGCAAGACGACGCATTTCCAGCGAATACAAAAGCGGAGTGGAGTGCCTTATGAGGAGATGCTGTTCTTCGACGACGAGAGTCGCAATCGTAACGTCGAGGAGCTGGGTGTGACGATGCAGTTGGTGCGAGACGGCGTCACGCGGGCTGAGGTCGACAAAGGGGTGGAGAGCTGGAGGAAGAGGAATGGAAGGACATGACGATGCACCGTGTGGTCTACACAATACAGATAGAGTCCAGAAGATACAGCCAAGAGGGTTGGAATTGATGTTCCTTATTGAACTAGAAACATGAACAAATGCATAACGCTCCATCCCACCGCCCAGAACGCCTTGCTCAATAGCACGCTGCAGCGCTATCCTTTGCTTGGCCTGAAACCCATGACCCGCTCGCTGTTGTGGTATCTGTACTGCAAACAATCATATCCGTGAGGACCAGTAAGATGCAGTCGATCAAGTCTGCGCTCAATGCTCATCAGAAAGAAAGAAGAAAAGAGTGACGCAAACGCTTCATGGCGTGAACGAATGCTTAGTTGATGCTGGTAAGGCCGTCATGGGAGTTGCATCGTTCGGCGTCAAGATGGGGCGAAGACTGGACCGTGGCGATTGGCGACGAGGCTCAGGCTGCTGCTGGGACCGCGGCATCAGCATGCCCGGCATCCACGTCTTCAATCTCGCGGCCACGGCAATCGACCACAATCCGGCGGCCAAGATCCTCCGCCGGAACGCCATCGCGGAAAGCGCCAAAGTCAAGTACCTAGTAAAAATGGGAGTTAGCATGTAGCCTTCATCAACAACACAGACAAGCACTCACCTCAATGTACGTCAAGTTATTCCGTTGCACGGCGGCAATGCATCGGCGCTCGTCGAATCGCACCTGCCAGACCCCACTAAGATCCGTCAGAAGATCCTTCACGCACTCGCCATTGCGCACATTCCACATCTTGAGCGCTCGGTCGCTGCCGGAAATGATCTTCTGCCCGTCATGCTGGAAGCAGGTGATCGCGCCGGTGTGCGCAGACAGCGTGGCCTTGCATACGCCCGACTCGGGATCCCAGATACGGAGAGTGCTATCCGCCGCAGCGCTGACAAGGCGGTCGTGTGAGAGGTCGAGCAGGCCGACGAGCGAGGTGTGGCCTTCGAGATTGAAGAGACACGCGCCCGACTGCAGATCCCAAACTTTCACGAGGTTATCCATGGAGCCGGAGATGCAGCGGTTGCGTGCGTGGTCGAGGACGACGGAGTACACCTTTTGCGTGTGGCCTTGGAGGCGGTGCATCTGGTCGCCAGTGGAGATCTTCCATACCCGCACAGTGCAGTCATATGAGCCGGACACGAGCGTATCACCGTGTGCGGCAATCGCGCGTACCGAGTTATGGTGTCCGGAGAGGGCGCGGAGGAAGTACGGATTGTCGCGGTCATTGGTATGCTGCCCCGTCTGGTAAACTGGGCGATCGCCGGCCTGTGGCAGTTTCCACACACGCAAAGTCGAGTCTCGAGATCCGGTGATGATCAGGGGCTCTTTGGGCATGTATATGGGCGTTCCGTCCGGTGCACGGTCGACCACCTCCGGCTTCAGGATGACCAGACATCGAACAGTCGACGTGTGCCCTTGGAAAACTTGCAAGCATCGTGCCGTCTTGATGTCCCAAACGCGCACGCTTCTGTCGGTCGACCCAGAGACGAGAGTGTCGCCGTCGTATTGCAGGGCCCACACGCCCCCTTCATGCCCCTCGAGCCGGTTCTTTAGAGCGCCAGTCTTGGTGTCGTAGACGTTAATTCTCGCATCGTCACTCCCCGTCAAGATGTTTTCATTATCAAATAGCAGACACGTGACGACGTGTCGGTGATGTGCCCGGAACGCGAGATGCTGGGGTTGACTGTCTTCCGTCATCCACGCTTTTCGAATGAGGTAATGGCGTTGGTACAAGGACTTGAAGAGGTGCATGCTGCGTAGGCTGGGTAAGCCGACCGCCGGGTGCTTCACCTCCTGTGCAGCCGCGTTCGCCAGAGCATTGGGTCCTCGAGCGGAAGAGAGCAATCGATTGACGTGAAGTGCCGAGGTCGACGTGCTCGGTTTCGTTGCCGACGACGAGATTTGAATGGCGCGGCGTTTCAGCAGCTTCGAGCCGTTGCGCTTCAATTTGGCGGCAACGGTGCTGGATGTGGCCATCTCCTCATCATCGCTGCTCACACTCGTCGCCGCCGTACTAGACGAGCTCTCTTCTGCAAACTTCGACTCGGAATGGCTCAAGTCTTCTTCGTACCCGAGCTCACCCGGATGCTGCCAGCCCCAGCCTTCCTTGACGGCTTTGGCAATCTCCCCTTCGGGTAGGACAAAGCCGTCTCGATCGAACAGATCTTTCCAGGCCTTCTCGTCCGAATTGATATGCCTCCTCCAACGCTTCGACACCTGTGCCGCGCGACACATGCTCTGGACGTCAAGGTACCGAACGATGTTGAGACCCAGCTCGACGGGAAGAACATTGAAGGGGTCGCACTTGAGAGCAGGGTTGACCACGTTCGCAACCACTTGCAGGGTCGGCTTCGCACAGCGTCGCAGAAGCTGGTACATGATGTACGTCTGCATAGTCTCGGGCATGCTATCGAAAGCGTCAACCATGGTGGGAATGTCCATGACGGTGGGCCCGCTGCTGTATTGCGGCTGATGGGTACGAGTATCGGAGAATCGCGGTACCTCCGGCCGGGTGCCAGACGTATTAGCTTTCGAAGGAAACGAAGGATTCGGTGCAGTGGCGCCGTCTTCCAAGTCCAACGCCGGGACCATGCTTTCATCTTCACCCATGTGCTCGCCGAAAGAAATCTCAAAGGCGTTCTGCCGTGATGCCAAATTGGCGGCAGCTGTGATGGGCGACAGACTAGGGCTTGGCAGGCTCGCGTCTTGCTGAGAGCTGGTGACCAGGTTTGGCAGATTGGGCCGGCGGAACTCCTCCAGCGGCGGCGTATCTTCGTATTCGGCGTCAATCATGGGTGGAGTGGTGGTGGTTGCGCCTCTCGTCTGACTTGCACCTGGCAAAGCGTGGTCATCCGGATGGCTCCGCTTCCTGGTGGTCCTACCACCGTAGAACGGCGGACCAAGCTGGGAGTCTTCCTCTTGATACTCGCTATCCGCCATGTGCACGTCATCCTCGCTTTCGCCATCCTCGCGCTGCAGTTCTTGCAACCGAGATTGAGACGGTCTCGTCAGACCCTTCGTCCGGCGTGCGTGTCTATTGGCGTGTAGTCTGGCAGGGGCATTCGGAGGCGCGGCATCACCTTCGGGAGTGATAAGGGAGGGATCGCGGGGCGTGGGGATCTCACCCGATGCAGCTCTTTGATTGAGGGACGGGAGCTCCTGCAGCTCCGAGTCGGTGCGGTGTAGGTGTGCCCGCGGTTTCTTCATCTTTCGTTCCAGACTAGCCAGCTCCGCTGCCTCTGCTATGGACAGCGGAGTGTGGCTTCGCTTGTGGGCGCCGGACGCTCGGACATTGTGCACCTGCTTGCCCACGTGACTATGTTGGAGATCACGCACAGGTGTACGGTACGACTTGTCGTCCTGCTCGGTACGGATGGCACCTCCCTGCATATGGATATTTGCCTGCAGTTCTCGATGTTTCCTGACCGTTTCCCGTGCATCCTCTTCCTCCTGAAACCGGATGGGCATGCCGTTGACATCGGTGCAGAATCGTCGGAGGTATTTTGGCGTTGGAGAGAAGGCCAGGGGGTACTGCTTTACGTCTCTTTCGAACAAGTCTTTGGGTGGTCTCATGATCAAAGGAGGGAGGGAAACGGTCGTGGTGGTGGTGACGGTCGTGACGGTCTGTTGAGTTGCCGGGCCAAAGCTGAGCTGGGCCACAGTTGAATGCTGAGGAGGGAGGGTGTAGGGTGCCATCACGGTGGAAGTGTTGGAGGTCGGTCCAGCATGGTGGTGTCTTGCTTGGACGTCGGAGACGTTATCGGCTGGTGAGGCGGGGGCGGTGGAGAGGACGGTTTCGGGTTTGAATGCAGGTTCTGTGGCACGGAGGCCCAGGCCGAGATTCCCTGATGCCTCCATCATGGGATATGCAGCGGATGTGGGTGTAAGACGCGTTTCCCGCGCAGCTCGTGCTCTTTGCACGTCGCGTTGCCTTCCTCGGGGGGAAACACGTGCGAAACGCGGTAGGCTGATGCCCACGGGAAATGAATGAGACGCGCCCCTTCAGACAACACACTGCTCGCGAGGTGTGCAATCACCAGCTCATGTTGTGAATGTGGTCGAGGGTTTCGTGGCGGGGTGGAAATGCAAGGCGGTAGAGGTGCCTGATGTGGACTCTCGGCTGCCCCTCGGCAAGCCCACGGAAGCGGAAGAGATGGCGACTACCGCGTGGTCTGGGGAAGTGAGAGGAAGCCCTGAAGGCGGGCTTGGGTCGAAGAGCAGAGAGATGGTGGTCAGAAGGATGGGGGGTTTGATTGTTAAAGCGGTCTTCAGCCCGGGGATGAGGTGGGCGGAGGCGGAGTCGGAGGCGAGAGAAGGCAGGAACCGGCGCCGCTCCAGCTGCCCGGGGTCCCGGCAAGCCATGCCCCTTTCGGCAGGAAAAAATTCATGAGGCGAGCACGATCTGCTGAACCGCTGGCACTACTTGACATCTCTGCATATCGATGAGGCTTGCACGCAGCTCCAATAATTACAAGTAACTACATGTAGTCTTACATTGGTCCATGAAAGATAGCCAGCGGACGCAAACCAACCAATAAACCACCCTAGAGAAAACTAAGGCGGGCAAACTTTCCAACGCTCCGGGGTATCTTTCAAACGAACGTGGAAACAAATGTATGGATCGAGCCAGTGCACCTCCTCGTCAGCACCAGACAACCATGGCCAAGGTCAGCAGAAATTAGTGCTCCTGCTCACCTACCGGTTCTTCTTCCTGCGGTACCCGAGCGCATCACTTCCTCCGCCTAGCTCCGCCCAGGCTGCGAGCACATCTTCACCCGCACTGGTGATGCTAGCCATGCTTGTGATACGCACAGGTTGCTTTTGAATCGTGTTGAGCGTCGGGGCGGTCGCATCCGCGCCGGGCGGATGGGACTTGAGTGGCTCGGGAGCCTCAGATTGAGAAGCGTTGTCGCCTCGTGCGCTTGCTGCAACCGCATCCAGCACCTTAGGAGCATTCGGATTCAAACCCAACGGTACGTCGGACTCGAATGTGGGCATCAGAGACGAAGGTCGGCTGTCCGCAATCGACGGAGATGCTCCTTGCAGGTGTTGCAGTTCTAGTGGAGTGAAGTCCAGCACGGGTGGCTGTCGCTGGGGTCGCGGATGTTTCAGACTCGTAGGCCGCGCCCAGGTGGTGGCGACCGGTGTGTCTGGGCTGTCGATCTTGCTCCGCGAGCCGTACTCGGCAGCCTGCTCCTCGGAATAAGTTTGCAGAGCTTCCAAGTTTTGGCCACCTGAGCGGCGGTGCACCTCGTCGTCGGTGGTCTCTCCGCCGGTAGTCTCTGCTTCCGTATCGCTTCGCACATTTCCCTCATGTCCATTAGAAGGTCGTTGTGCGGCAACGCCAGCTTCATGCACAGTCCTCTCAGTGCGCAGTCCGAGAACTTGATCGGTGAGTTTCTGCATCGGCGACACGCTTGGTATGGCCGGCAGTGCGCTTATTCCAGCACCGGCAGTCTCGCGTGAGGTAACGGGTTTCGGCCTCCCAGCGTGCTCAGGTGGTGCTTCAGAATAAAGATAGCCTTCAGACTCGCGGCGCCCATCAAGATCACCATCCTCTTCTTCATCGAATTCAGATAGAGTCTCCTCGTGGTCGTCATAACGGGAATCAGTCTCGATCTCAGTCCCTGAAATCGGACGACCGGCGAACTCATTCCCGAGTCCGGGCGCGGCAACGAGGAAACGATCCATCTTCGAATTTCGGTCGCCATTCAGACCATCCATCTGCAAAAATCTGCCCATTTTGAAGGCTTTGTCCACTTCCTCCCTTCGAAGAGCGCTCATGCGTTTTCGCTGTTGCAGCTCTTCTCGGATCAGACTTTCCGTCTTGCTCAGTGTGCGACCCCCCGTCCTTCTGCCGACTTGTTGCTTGAAAACCAGCAAGGCCGGATTATGCGGCGCATCTTCACCATGGCCGTGGTGCTGCTGCTCATGATCTCGTCGCGCAAGACGATAGCCCTTTGCGAAACTCATTTTCTGCATCGCCGCGCGCTTCTGGCGCATGAGCTCCAGCAACATCATCTCCTCTTCGGTCACAGCCATGAGTCGGGACGCATCAGTCGGCACGCTACTGCACGTCTCTTCTTCTCCGCTCTCAAGCCCATCTCGATCGTACGATATCTGCGTTGACGCTTCGTACTGCCGCGAACCGACCAGAGCAGCGATATTTCGCCGGATAGCGGAGGAGGACGGAGATAGCGCGCTCCCACTGCTCCGAACCGTCATTTGAGGCGTCGCCGTCTGGCTGCTCTGACCGTCTCGGAATGGGTCGGAGGCTTGAGAACTGCTGCACCCGTTGGCCGGGTCGATCTTGGTATCACTTGAAGAGTGCTCGAGACTGGTAGACTGAGCAGGATCGGATGCGTGACCCTGGGGTCGTGGCAGCTCTGCAGATGGCACTTTAGTATCCCTGAGTGCGTCACTGCCCGTACTGTCCACTTTAGCAAGCGTTTGCCGGCTGTCCTGTTCAGATCCGGAGGAGAGCGACAAGACGCTTTCTGCGCCAAGTCTAGATCTGGCAAGCCTACTCTCGCCGCTTCGTTTCCGGCCGTCCAAAGCCCCCGAAGACACACTTCCGTCGACGAGTGAGCCTGCACTGTCCTTGCTGCCTTTCCGATCTCGGGCGGTATCCTTGGATGTCCGCGAAAGTGGATAATTGCTGGCCTTTAGGTGTGGTGGAGTCTCACGGTAAGAAGCGGGCAATTCTTGAAATCGGCTTTGTGGAGCATATAGACTGAAAACGGAAGGCAGTGGCTGTTGCGGTAGCTTGGGGTCCTTTGGGGGTACCTCTCCAGCCGGAAGCTCAACCGGCTCCGGCTCATCATCATCGGAACTAATGTTCAAGCCATCGAACCAATTTTTGATGCCTTTGGGGGGACGGTAGATGTTGGTTTTGGGGGAATCAAAGCTGTCACGCTTGGATGTGCGAGGAGCATCGTTTACTGGCGCCCGGCCAGAAAGATTCGATCTTGCCCGAGGTTCCACGCGGAAATGGGAGCCCTTCCGTAACACTCGCATGCGCACCGGCTCTTCTGGGAAGTATTCGGAGAACCCCGCCGGACTGGGCGGGGTTCGAGGAGACTTGCTGGTCGATGCAGCTCGACCAGTCAGCTTTCTCTGGGGCAGTAAGGAGCGCATGCCAGTTCTTCGCTGGCCATAGATCTCGTCGCTGGGGGTTCTGCTCGCCAGAGGCCTGCGCGTGCCAGCGGGCAAGATAGATGGCGTAAGCAAGGTGGAGTCGCTGGAGCTCCCGTAGATGGGATCGAAGAGGGGCGGTTTCCGAAGGGCCATGTCTCGCACCGAGGATTCCGATGTCTGTTGGGAGACGTGCAGAGGCTGTTGGGAGGAATCATAGTGATGCCGACTCAACGACTCGATCGAAGGTTGTTGCATCAAGTGATGGGGCGAGACAGCAGTGAGCCCGGTGCTCGCACTCGACGATGGAGCCAGATACTCGGTGGATCGTACGGTACCCGACGCGGTGTCTGAGTCGTCTTCGGAAATGTGATCCAAGCCTCGTCGACTGTTCTTTGCACCATCTCGAGCACGAGCGAGGGCGGCAGTGTCGGCATATCCAATGCCTACCCGCTCGCCAAGCAGCCTCTGGGCTTTCGGCGGAGCGATGATGCCGCTGGTTGCGCGTGCATTATTGCCCGAGATGATGATGGATTCCTCAATGTTAAACCCGCCCTGGCCCTTCTCTCCCAGGAGTTTCTGAGCCTTCAGCGGCACGCCAGACCGCTCAGGCCGGCGGGTATCGGGGGGATTGGTCGTGATTTCCTCGACCGGCGCATGACGTGAGGGAAGGCGCATGATAGGTCGGGGGTGTCTGGGACGATGCTTTGGAGATTACATGTGGGAGTAGGAGGAGGATGCGTGTGTTGCATTTCTGCCACGGCGTTAGCAAAGCGTACAAGAGCTGAAGAGCGATGGTACTGACGCGAGAGTGCCCGACTCGGTGCTCGTGGGGGCTTCCGTGGGGTGGAGTCCAGCTCGTCTAGTGGTGGTATAGATGCATTATGCACAGGCGACAATGACAAGGAGTTGGGGTGGAAGGATGGTCGACTGGAGAAGAAGAGGCAGTGATGTGCTCAGCTATGCACGCCATCCTTCTCCCAAGATGCGGTCGAGTTCGTTGGATCGACCTCTCACGTTACCCTTGAACCCTCGCCCGGGCCCACACAACCCGAGCGCACGGGCGTCATCCCAGCAGCAGGCATCCCCGAACTCTATTATTCCTCCCATTGCCCCAGGCAGGCGCGATCAAGTGGATGTATACCTTACAAATAGCATCATCTTGTTCGCTCGCCTCCTCCTACATGTATGCCTCAATGCTGCCATCTCGTTCGTCCAACGTCCATGCGATGAACGAGGGCACCACAGCCTCCGTCATGATCCAGCCCTTGCTGCACCGTACAGCCATGGATCACTCATCGCCCGCCGCAAGCTGGCGCACGCTGTTCCCCTTCGTCTCACCATCGCGCAGATCGCACCCATTTGGCCGGTAATCGCTCGCTCACCACGTGCACTTAGGAGGCCCGAGGCAAGAATAAGAGAGCGGAGAGGGGTGTTGGTGTTGATGATCGCGCTGATCGCACCCCCTTCGCGCACGCACAGCCGTGTTGGCGGATTTGTATAACCGGCGCATGGCTTACGGAGCGTACTACCGCATTCGGATCGATGCAAGGCGATCGACCTCGACCACACCCTGTCACGCACTGCACGCATGTTTGCCGTGACTCTCGCACCATGTACGTGGAAGTGAAAGACTCTAGTGGTAGACAAGGTAGCCTGAGGTGATTTGCTTGTCTCTTCTTCATTTCCCCCCGTTCTGTTCAGCAGACTTTGCATAGGTATTCTGCCCGACAAGCATGCTGCAGAATAAGTACCCCCAACTTCCCGGGTCCTTGGTTTTCATTCATCAAATCATCATCATCACATTCCATCATGCGAGCCTCGTCTCCTCCCGTCCCCTCGCGCCTCATCTCATCTTTCCTGAGGGGGTAATTCCTGCTCTCAAGACTCGGTGCCAACTTCTACCCATCGAATAGTTCAGAAAGGCGATGCTTCACCCCATGCCGCCAATACTGCACCAACGGGCTGTGCGTCCAGTGCACTCCATCAACAGGTCCTCATGGAATGACATCGGGCGTGCCAGCAAGGGAGTTCAAGCCTTCTTCCGACTCTTCCACGCAAACAAGCAAAGCCAGCCCGGCAAGCCGCTCATCCCTGGACAAAGAGATTCACCTCGGCCATCCCACTTCCCATCGCGTTGGCCTCCCACGCCTCAAAAGCCGTCTGCACATCTTCATCACTCTGGATGCTCACGTAGTCCTCCTCGTCCAGGAATTTCAACTTCACCAGCTGCGCCCCTGCTTGCAGGCCTCTCTCGCTGAGGCTCAGATTGGTACTGCGCTGCAGCTTCGCGTCGATGCGGTCCACAAGGCTCTGGTAGGAGATGTTGAGAGGGACGACGAGGGTGAGGGATTGCGAAACCGAGGGACAGTGCACTTTGACCTTCAATTGAGTCGGCGTTGGCCCTTGTTGTCCTTCATTAGGGGCGGAAAAGGAGGATTGAGGCTTGTGGAATGTCGATGAGGGGGGCGGTGGCGGGGGTGGTAGATGCTGTTGCGGCGAAGGATGCTGTGGAGGGGGATACATGCCACCGGGTGTGGGTGTGGCGTTTCGCGACTCCCGATGCTGGTATTGTTGTTGTCCACTGGAGACTCGTTCGCGCGGCACCTGTGGGCTGGCGTTCTGGCCTCGCGGCGGTGGCGGCAACCCATTGCCCAAGCTCGGCGAGTTGTTTTGACTGCGGGGAACCAGCGTTGGGTTGTACTGATAGGGTGCCGGCATGTGCGGCACCGGTGGCTGCGGCACAGCGCCGGGCGGCGGGCCTCGGGGTTGGTTGTGAATGTCGGGGCTGCTCACACTCCTATTCCTGGGCGCACCCGATGCTACGCTATGCATGCCCGGCCTGGGCGGCGGAACTCTACCAAGCGGTGGCGGCGTCGGACCGCTCGTTGAAGGCTCTCGCTGTCTTGCCATTGCGGGTGCTGTATATCTTGCACTGTGCGCTGGAGGAGGATACGGGCCGTCCTCAAATTGCCTCATAGGCTGGCTACCAGGCATAGGAAAGCTGCTGTACATGCCTGAACTGGCGCTTGTGCGGGAGCTCGAAAGCGTGCTGGGTGACCCGTCCACTGGACTGAAGTAGCTTTCGGGCTGGCTGCCGACCTCTGCTTGCGCGGCCAGCTGTTGCAATTCTCTCGTTCTGAGCGATAGACTGGGCTGATGCATGCCCTGCCCGTAGCGGGCCGGCTGAGCTCGTCCGGCGTTCGAGGAAATACTCTCTCCTCGACTCCTCAAGCTGGTGAAACTTGGGTTCCTACTCCCTGATCCAAGGTCTTGCAGGGTTGAGAAACCGCCGACAGAGCCAACGGCGGTGGCGGACGTATGACCGCTCCCGACGAGCGTTTCGGCGTCGTCCTCGTCTTCTTCCTGACCGAACTGTGCGTACGGGTTTTCCATGGCTGGTTGATTTCTCATGAATTCGAACTCCGTCGTCGATGTCCCGAGGCTTCGATTCCCTTCGCTGTTTCTGCCTGATCGGTCTCGCCACTTTCTGCGTTGAATCTCGATCTGGTTTGCCCATCGCTTCATCATTTCCTCGGTGGTAAACCGTATGATGAAGTTCTCAATGCTAGGATCACCTTTCCAGAAGATCTGACATGTGTAGGAGCCTGATGACAAAGGTCAGCAATCGCGGTTCGTCTGCGTTACATCATGTATTCATTGGGCTTGAACGCGTTCGGAGACGTACCTGGCTTGCCCAGAGACACCAGATCGGTGACATTCTGCATGAAAATGCGACCCTTCAGTTGCAGCTTGGGCTTGCCTCGCTTGTCGACAAGTTGCCTGTTGGAGAGTTTGTTTTTGGGCTTGCTCAGGTCGATATCTTTGCAGCAAAGCAGGATGGTCTCGAAGAGGTAGACGTGATACTGCGCAGCATTTTCATCAGCTTCCGAATCCACATCCATGGTCAAGCACATCGTAACACATACCTGTCTCTCGCCGTCCTTGCCTCCCACGCCCAGATTTTCGCTTTTGAGCACGGTGAAGGTGCCGTACAGCAAGAGTGCACCGAATGAGTCCACCTTATGGCCCTTCCAGTCCTCTACCCGCAGTTTCAGCTCCTGCACCGTCTCGATCTTTTCTTCTTTGTCGACGGCATGGTTGGTCCTCGCGAGGACTGACGTCGAGGCCTCCTTGCCGATCAACAAATCTTGCCGCCGTTCTTCATCCAAGTCACCCTTCTTGTACAAGTCGTCAAGCAGTAATGGATATTTGGACAATCTCTGAAAAGGCTTCATCAAAAATCCATAGAGGTTGGTCGGAGATTCCACCAGTTGCCGCATTTCTATGCTCGCGTGCATCGTAGTCAAGGCCAGCTTATCGAAATTGGCCACGACCGTCCTCTCACATTTCCGCTGATTTGCGATGTATGGCTCATAGACCTTGAAGGCCTCGCAGTAGAGAACGAACAGTTTGCCCCAATTCTGCTCCTCTTCGGCCAGGTGATTGGTTTGCTCTACCCGAATCAAGAATCTTCTTTGGAAATCCAGCAGAGCGTTGAGGTTGAGAAAGATGTCATGCACAGCATCGCCCGGGACGAGGCCCTTTTCCTCCACGAGATGTTTGAAAGCCTGCAGGAGTTCCAGATGCTGCACATAGGTGCGTTCAGTGCTGACCAATTCGCTGACGATATGCTGCCGCTGTGTTCTCTTCATCCCCTTCTCTGCTTGCTCGAAATCGGAGGCCGTGGGCTGTATATCATCGACGATGCCCCGTTGGACCAATATGTCCAGCACACGATTCACGACCCGAGCGACTTTGACGAAGCCGGTGGTATCGTCTCCATACAAGTCGGTGATGATGAAGCAGTCCTCTTGCGCAAACTTCAAGTCGGTGATGCATGCTTGAATGAATTTGAACGTGCACGCCTTGCCCTTTTTCTCTTCCCGCACATTGGCTGGCATGGACAATGGCTGATCTGGTCGCAGAGCGTTGTAGAGCAGCATGAGGGGGTAACCTCGACGAAAGGTACGCCAAAGCAAGGTCACTGGATCGGTGTCATCGTCGGCATCTTCCTCTTCCTCTAACAGGGACTCGCTGAAGCCGGGGACGCCTTGGAGTCTTTGCCGCAGAGTGACACAGATCTGGAAGAGGGAGCTGCTGGCATCGGCGACGGTGTTCATGACATTGTCCGTCGCCGTGACATCGCCGTTCGTGGCAGTGGCCATGACGGGCAGCGGCGTGGAGTCGCCGGGCCGCGGACCGCCAGTGCCCTGGCTGGGCAGACCGTAATTCAGGCTGGTGCGTCCTTGCGCAGGGGCGATTGGTGTTGACCCGCCTTGGCTCATGCTGGCCGCATGGCCGACCAGATTGGCAGACTGCGTCTTTGTATAGGCGGGGCCATTTCTTGAGCGATGGTCCATGGAGGAAGCAGTGACGGGAGCGGTTTGGATGCGCTGAAGAGTATAGGGACCCGGGGCAGACACCATGTCCTCCTCCGGGATCGGCTGGTTCACGGAGGCCGGGGAGGGGGAGGGGGAGGGGGAGGAGACTGAGACGGATCTGGGAGCCGGCGGGCTCACATGTTTGCGAGTGGCCGCAGAGGGGGCGAGGCGCGCGTGGAAGAAGGTGAGTTGGGGATTGCTGCGGGGGTCGTACTTGTTGCTCGTCATCCAACCCGCCGCGTGACTGTTGGGGGGCAGGCCGGGGGGAGGGAGTAGCGAGGGAAGAGAGAGATTCGGCGGAGGGTGTGGCGGTGGTGGAGACGCAGACGGAGGTGGAGTTGAGTGGAGGTGGTGGAGGCGGGCGCCTTCAAACAGTCGTCTGCGCGCAAGTGTAGGCTCCTTCAGTCGGAGAAAGGCGAGCTAGGCTTGGTAGGGGAAGCGCGCGGCGCGGGCGCGTTGCCGGAAGGGCGTCCGTGGACTGGACCCTCCTCAACCGTTTTCCCAATCCGGCGCTTTTCTCTTCGAGACCGTCCACAGCGTGCTTGTGAGGGCAGGCGAGCGACGAGCAGATCGGGTGCAATGTGCAGCGGATAGTGTGCAGTAGCAGAAGCACGTCGCACCGCCGCTTGCGCCCCTTTCGCAATGCAGACGCAGTCAAGCTTTCTTGCGTGCAGAGCGCCGGCCTCGGTCTGAAGACCGCCTCCAGCACATGCACGATCCGCTAACCTTCTCGTCCCGCGCCAAGTGGGTCGGAGGCTGCAGATTGTAGAGCGATGGAGATTTTCAGCAGCGTCTGGCGATGAGAGGCGAGAGATCTACCATCTGCCGGCCTCAGGCAGATGTTTCCGGTAATCACGTGATCGCTGCCTTGCATGTGCACGAGCGGGCCGGACTTGCGGCGACATCATTCGCCCAAAACAACAACAACCCACCTCTTCATGTCGCCCGCCACCTTACACACTACACCAAACCACACTACCTCATTGCTCACTTCCCACATGCATACAACCTTCAGTTTGTTCAGCCGTGGGAGCTGACATTACCCAGACCCCACCGACACCAGTAACTCTTCGATCCTCACTCCGCCGCCACCCTCGATTCGGGCGTGCGCCGAGTTTCGCCTTCTCCGTCGATTGCCTCCCGCACATGGCCACCCCATCCTCTTCCCCGCAGAACACGACCAAGTTGCGCCAGCTGTCCCTGCATCCCAACACCACCATGCGCCATGAGCACTCCCAGAGTCAGCCGGATGAGGGTTATGCCGAGGACGAGAGTCATCTCTCGGACGGCGAAATGACCACGGCCGCGCACATGGGTATGGAGATCAGCGAGGCCGCTGATGTCAGGAGCATCTTGGACCAGATCCTCATGCTGCCCATTGACAAGCGACACGCCATCGCACAGGCCTTGGTCCCCACCCTCCCCAATCCTCAAAAGGAAGAGCTGAAGCTTCTCATCGACCGTCTCACTCATTTCGACCCGGCCATCTACCTGCCTACCGAAATCTTCCTGCTCACTTTCTCATATCTCACACCGCGCGAACTTTTGACAGCCGGCGCTGTCTCGCGCATCTGGCGTGCACGCGCGCAGGATGAGCGATTGTGGAGGTCGTGTTTTGCCAGAGAGGGTTGGGTGATGGATCCCACACAGACTGAGCCCCTCGAGCAGCTGGCGGAGAGACGGGGTACGAAAGCAGTTGAAGTCATGATCAAAAGCTCGGAAAGGGGAAAGATGGAGGATGAAGCAAGCCCGTCGGCGCTGGAACGACGCTCAAGCAGGAAGAGGGGCAGAGATGAAGCTTTCAGTGACGGCGAAGGGGACAGAGGACTGCTTGGTCATGTCGATGAGGCCATATCACAGTTCGATGGCGCCGTCGACGAGCTATCTCATAATGTGCATGTGGACAGCATGGAGGGTGTGGAGGCGGCTCCGCCTACCAACTCTGCAGCGAGGATTCGCCGTTCTTCCAGTGCCATCGACGCCAATGATGCCCCCCCAGAAGACGTGCTATCGAACCCCGCAGCCCTTCTCCTTGCACCTCCTGTCTTCCAGCCAAGAGACAGCCAACAACAAAAGCCCAAGTTGAGCTGGCCCTATCTCTACAAGCAGCGCCGTCGCCTCGAAGCCAACTGGGAAAATGGCTTATACAAAATGTTCCAGCTCCCTCACCCCGATCATCCAGAGGAAGGGCACGACGAATGCGTTTACACTATACAGCACACCCACCGCCATCTGGTCTCGGGGTCAAGAGATCGAACGATACGCATCTGGGACCTTGCGACGAACCGGCTGAAACGAGCGCCGTTGGTAGGCCATGAAGCCAGTGTGCTCTGCTTGCAGTTCGATGAACGACCCGAGCACGACATCATTGTCTCGGGCGGCAGCGATGCGTATGTCATTGTGTGGAAATTCTCCACGGGCGAAATCCTGCACAAAGCACTGGCGCACGAGGAGAGTGTGCTCAATCTCCGCTTCGACGACAGATACATTGTCACGTGCAGCAAGGACAAGTCGATCAAGATCTGGACCCGACATGCGCTGGCTCGAGACTCTCCACTCGTTCCGGCTCATGTTGTGTCCGACTTTGCGACGATGCACCTAATCAACAACCAGATCCCACAGTACAGTCAGCTCTCCGTCCTCAACGGCCACATGGCAGCAGTGAATGCGGTGATGATACACGACAATACCATCGTCTCCGCCAGCGGCGATCGAAGCATCAAAGCATGGGATATCGCCACCGGCCAGGCGAAGAAGAATTACTCGGGGCACCTCAAAGGCATCGCCTGCGTTCAGTTCGACGGTCGTCGTATCGTTTCAGGCTCATCCGACAACACCGTACGGATCTTTGATGCCGAGCAACAAACCGAAATTGCGTGCCTAACTGGCCACACCAACCTTGTCCGCACCGTCCAAGCACGCTTCGGCGACCTGGACATTGTGAGTGCGGAGGAGCTGGCGGCGGAGGCGAGAAAGGCAGATCTAGGGTTCTATGCCGCGCTCGCCAAAGGCATGCAGCCGGCACACGTGTCGAGGCGTCATGGCGGAGGCCGTCGAAATGCCGGCTCCAGTCGGCCAGAACACATGCTGGCACTCGGGAGCAAGATCCCGCCTGGTGGAGGAGGCAGTAGGTGGGCGAAGATTGTGAGTGGGAGCTACGATGAGACGGTTATCGTTTGGAAGAAAGACAGCGAGGGGAACTGGTGTCCGCGGGTGAAACTACGTCAGGAGATCCTTAGGCCTTCCAACACAAACCGACGACGAACACCAGCTGCAGCACCGGCGCAACCACCCCAAGGACAGCACAATCAAGCGGCTGTCGTGCCCAATCACGTCCAGACGCAGGCGCATCACCACATCGCTACGGCCCAAGGTCACCTTTTGCAGGCCAACCATCTTCTTCAGGCACAACAACAGCCTGCGCCTGCGCACCCTCCTCAGAACCAACCGGCTCTCCATCCCAACAATCCTGCGGCCGCTGCGAATGCTCCGAATCCCGCGGCGCAAGCAGGGCAGCATTCGGTGACCACTTCCACCGCGACAACATCGCAGCAACAGACTGCCGGTGCTCCAAACAATACAAATGCTGCAGCCGCAGCAGCGGGCGGCCAACAACAGGCCCAGGCTCCAGCTGCCGCGGCGGGCCATCACGGTGGTCACCCGGCAGCCCGCGAAAGCAACCGAGTGTTCAAGTTGCAGTTCGATGCCCGCAGGATCATATGCTGCAGCCAGAACCGTGTGATTGTCGGGTGGGACTTTGCGAATGGTGATCCCGAGCTGGAGAGGGTGGGAGAATGGAGCCAGGAGACAGCGTAGTAAGCTATCATCCCATGGTATGTTAGATTTCGAGGCGACGGCGGACAGGCGGGTCGGTTCGAGGGGAGGGGCAACGGGGCATCGTGAGACCAGTGTCAAACATCTTTATTGGAGATGAGCCAGGAGGTAAAGGTCTGGTAGTGAGCCGAGCTGCAAAGCCCACGACTCTCGTAGTGGAATGCATCGGTCACACAAATATCGGGCCTCTCTTCTTCACAAATCAAGTCGTGTGAGGCACGTATTGGTGATTCAGCAGTCACAAATATATGCTGTGAAGTCCGCATTCTCATGTTTGCTGTTGGTGTGTCTATCGAGCTACGAGCAAGCGCAGCCGACCTCGGCTACATGCACGTCTCATGGTCCGCCTGCCCTCCATCTCCACGCCTCGATCGGCCAGCGACGCTACACCATCCATGAAGCGCGCCCGATCATCCACAGACTTCGCCGGCTTGATCGAAAGCGGGAAACGAATGGCTACAGGTCGGGGATCGGCGGGCAGCGCCCAGGTGTTGTTCGCGGTGCCGGTCGAGTCGAGTGGGGGCGAGGTGATGTGCACCCAGCCGGCCAAGCAGGTCTACCTCGTTACCTGGACGAGCGGGCCTGACAATCGATTGACTTCTGTACGTTCCTCGTCTCGACGGTGTGTTCATCTCAAGACTAATGCGTGTGGTGTCGTCAGTCCTTTTGCAAAGCCGTGACCCTCGCGTTGGACATTATCGAGCAGCGATACGAGCCCGGCGTCGTCATCACCACCTCTGGCATCCCGAAAGTAAGCCCTCTCACCAGGCTGGAGGGGAGTCTACGAACGAATCTAACGAGAGGCTAGTTCTACAGCAATGGCCTCGACCTCGACCACGTCCGGGCCACGCCGGGCTTCTTCAAAAACTACATGTATCCCCTCTGGCATCGACTGCTGACGTATCCCATGCCCACCGTGGCGCTGGTCAACGGCCATGGCTTCGCCGGCGGCTTCCTCGTGGCCATGATGCACGACTACCGCATCATGAACCCCCATAAAGGGTATTTGTGCATGAATGAGAACGAGCTGGGCGCGCCGCTGCGGCGTCCCATGGCTTCCATCTTCCGGGAGAAAGTGTCGCCTCAGACATACCGCAAGATGATTTTGGAGGCTCACAGGTTTAAGGTATGTGTGAAGAGTGTACTCTAATGAGGAGCTTTTGGTATTGATGTGTTGGTTAGGCTCTCGAAGCCATGCAGGAGGGCGTCGTGGACTGGTTGGGTGGATTGGACGAAGCATTGGCGCACATTGACGAGTTCAAGCTGGTGCAAAAGTCTCAAAAGGGCGTCAGTGGGAGGGTGGTATATGGACATCTCAAAGCCGAGATGTGGCGTGAAACCGTGAACTATCTCCTAGAGTGGAGTGAAGATGCGATGTTGTGGCAGCAGAACGAGCACCAGCATGATGTTGAGACGAAGAAGAGAGAGCGGAAGGTACAGGAGTGGGAGAAGAGCAAGGCGAAGTTGTGAGTTGTGCTGGTGTAATGGGATGTACGACCATGTCTATTCTTTTTGAGACCACATTGACTCCCGACTAGTGTCGACGTTAAGCCGTGTTCAGTGCCACAGATCTACATCTGTCGTGATTCAATACTGCCCAGATTGTGTTCCAAGCGCATGGACGACCGACAGTACATGACGCCGCCCATCGTGCTGTATTTGTGAAGATTCATTCCCTCCAGCCCGGTGAATTATACACTGGAGCCTCTGGGCAGCATCCACGCCTGCCTCAACCGCGTGAAGCAAACATGCTGCCATACATATATATTTCAGCCAGCCTCTTCGTTGCTAGAGGTCGGTTTACCGGAGCAACTGCATCGCCACGGATCGAATCTCCATCGCCGCGATCATTTGGAATACATCCATCATGCTAGTGGTACCCGCAACAGTTCCTTCATGGAGGCAGCTTGTGGACGTGTACGGTAACCCCCTCTGGGCACGCTGGTTGTGGCAATCTGACGTGAAACAGGCCAGTACAACAAATGGGGCCGACCGATTTGACCATGTACAGCAACGGCGAGCAAATCAAAATGCACAAATACTTGTTGTACCTAAAATCCCCTTTCTTCCGCGGAATCTTCGACCTCGATGGGTGGGAGGTAGGCTGCGCGCGTGCTACTATCGAGAAGCTAAGAAGCGCTGACCTTCCATCGCAGACTCGAGCGCCCACCAATCACTTCATGATGTATGACAACCCAGACGAATTGCGGATTGTCAAGCATTGGCTCTACACCTCCGAGTGGAGTGAGGAGTACAGTGGGCAATACCCCATGGACTTGGCGGTCAAGGTGTACGTGCTGGCCGATAAATGGGGCCTCGACACGTTACGAGCGCAAGTGCCCGAGCGATTGATCATGTTGTTCGGCTGTGCAGCTCACAACAAGATCCCCGACTTCATCGCAACGGTGCGCGCGGCGGAGAAGTGTAGTAGTGCTTCCCAGCAGACGTTGTGGGAGGTCGTTTTGGAAATCTTCCGATCGAACGCTTTAGTCCTGCTGCGAGATCGTTACATCATCGACCTTGTTGGGGATATGCCGGTGCTGCGAGTTGATCTGGAGGCCATGGGGCTCTTGGGGCCTATTGCAGTATGAGCAGCATTGGGGCGAATTGCTGGGCCTTCCAGGTCGTGAATTGGCGGAATGAGCTTGATCAATTTCAATGTTATCACACATATATCCCACAACTCAAACCATCTTCAAGTAATCTGGTCCAAGAGATGAGGTGGTGTTCATCACGAGGCTTGCCTAGCGCCATGCAAAGTGACGTCGGAATTCCGCGCCCGCTTTCACCGCACGCGCGCGCTTCATCAGTCCGGTTTCCAGCTCCAACTCTCCTTTCCCCTCCGTGTATGTGACGGTTGGGCCGGGGTCACTGCTGCAGATTGCTCAGCATGGCCCAACTCAACCCTCGTCTACTCTTCCGCCTTGCGAACAGCACCCCTCCTAGCCTAGGCGTACGCGCGTCAAGCTCATGGATGTGTACACAGTGCTGGGTGCAGCAACCGAAGAGACGTGATGCGAGCCGCCCATTCAAGACAATGCCCCCACTCCGGGTGCAGGAGAAGAAACCGTTCGAAACGCTGACCGCAGCGGACAACTCCTACTCCCAACCCGCCATCGACCTTTCGCAAAACGAAACTCCCGAGGAGAAGAACCACTTCGATCGGGTCGAGCAGGAGAGCAAGGAGAAGCAGATGCGATCGCCATGGATGCGCCAGGGCAGCGATGAACCGCCCGTGAAAAAGAAGAGGAGCGCCGGCGCAATGACAAAGGGCAAATTGCTCACCACTCCCTCACGCATGTTGAAGCTCATCCTGCCCCTCACCACCCGCGACACCAACAACGAGAGGAAAGACATTGAGCCGCTGGCGCTCCTCGTACATCCACAACAGCCTCTAAGCTATCTCGAGCGTTTGATTCAGAGCGAGCTCCCGCCGCTTGAAGTAGATGGCAAGGAGCGAATCCCCACCGTCACCTTCCGAGCGCAGGACTCTTCCGACGAGGATGTCATGTCGGGCACCCCTGCCCCGGAGGAGCTGGAGAAGGAAGACGAGATTGAAAACCCCGACGAGATGAACATTGGCGGCAAGACGGCGCGCACAGGCAAGATCTCGTCCCCCTCGTCCGACTCGAAATCGGACGTCAAGGAGAAGGAAGACTCGGTTGCTCGCAGGCGAGAGAAGAATCAACCGGCCGACCATCGACACCCGGAATTTGTCCGCTGGAGCCCGTCGACGGAAATCGGCGACTTCATCCGCGACGCGGCGAGAGCCAAGGAATTCGCCGTGGACATTGAAGGCGCGAGCGAGGCCATCTACATCGGTGTGCCGTCCTTCGACGACCGGACGTACTACCTCCGAATGCGCCTGCGCAAGACGTCGCGGCAGATTTTGAAGTTCGCAGACATCAAGAGCGAGTGTGACAAGATTGCCCAGCGAGGGGCTCAACGCGTTGCGCAGGGCGGTTTCGTTGGCCTCATTGGATGGTGGGGCATGGTCTACTATCTCACCTTCAAGACCGACCTTGGCTGGGACGTGATGGAGCCCGTGACGTATCTCGTTGGTCTGACTGGTCTCATGGGTGGTTACATGTGGTTTCTCTATCACAACCGGGAGGTGAGCTATCGCTCGGCCATGAACCTAACTATTTCCCGTCGGCAGAGCGCGCTCTATGAGCAAAAGGGATTCAATCTCAGGTTGTGGGAGGGATTGGTGGAAGAAGCGAATCGACTGAGGAGGGAGATTAAGATGGTGGCCGATGAGTATGACGTCGAGTGGGATGAGATCAAGGACGAACAGGACGAGAGGGTTGCGGAGGCTTTGCGCGAGGAGAGGAAGAAGAAGAATGGCAAGGACAAGAAGGAAGGCAAGGATGATGACGACAAGGACGATGATGATTGAGCAATTTCAAAGCTGCACGTTCGACATTGACTGGACCCGGGCACCACTTCCCTGCGTCGTCGCCTGCTCCACGATTCCGAAAGCACCCGAACGCCGGCAAGAACCGCAATCAGCCTAGAGTAACTTTACAGCTTCTGCTGTTTCAGCGCAGCTTGTCCTTTAGCCTTCGCTTCGGCATTTGGCAGGATCTGCGTGGGACATCCATTGAGGGCAGCATCGACCATGGCGGCCCCCAATTCCGGCCGCAAGATGTAGCCCATGGGGAGGGTCGGCGCATCGTCACGCACGAACCAAGGCCGGACAACGACGGACTCCCACGATTGTGGATTCTTGTCCGCGACGGCGCAGATGTCGCGATCTAGCTGTGCCTACCATGCGTGTCAGCGGATGGGTTCGAGTGTGCGGGAAATAATGGAACCAGCTCACCCGCAGACCTAAGGCCTTGATGGCGCCGAAGAGGAAGGAGCCCACAGTCTCTAGATACGGCACTGCGCCACCACTTGTATACACGAAGCGGAACTTTTGCCCTTTCTTCAATTCGGGCACCAGTCGCGTCTGGCACATGTCGATCGCGGCCAGGGTATAGTCGATGTGAACTACCTTGCCGGAAGTGGGCGAGCCCAGGGCCCTAGCTCGTACAGCACGTCAGCCTCGCATCCCGGGGCGGGCATGCGGATCCGGGATCCTCACCAGATGCAGGCCTGTGCCCCTTTAAGCTCCGATACGACCGCGTCATCATACTGGAGAAAATCGGTATGGATAATGTTCTTCACTTTAGTGCTGGAGGTGTCGACGGGGCGGCGGGTCAGGGCAATGATGGAGGTAACGGCGGGATTTTCGATGGCTTGTTGGAGCACGGCGCTGCCAATCGTGCCCGTGGCACCTGTTACGATGATTTTCATTTCGAGAGACGTATTTGCACGGAGAGCTGGGTCATTGCTCCGGCCTGTGGAAGATGAACGATGTACTACAAAGAGCAGACTTGGGGAAGCGTGGACTTTAAGTAGGCCTTGTTAATGCAGGCATATCACCAAAATCATTGCAAGATTGCACGGTGGTCGGAGACAAGGTATGACGAGTGCGTGGTGCCGCGAGGTGAGGTCGCGGAGCAACTTGGTCGTGGGGCGGGACAATTCAGGTCCCGACACGTCTGACCACAGCTCGAATCGGGCACAAATCTTCTCGATCCTCCTGCAACATCTCGGATACCTACGCGTCTTTTATGTTGCACCTAGCTGATCACCCCATACCGTGATGGAGTGTGTCTCCTCACCTCATTTGCGAGGCTGCATCGCGGCAAAAGACGTTGCCGGTGGGCGTCTTGGACACTTATTCTTAGATTCTAGGCCTTGGTCTGCGGAAGTCCCCGAATTAAGGTTTTGCCCCCTAAACCCTTTGCGACATGCCAGCCCTGCAGCGCGCACGCCGCGCCCTCTCCTGCCCACCGCGACTCGCTTGCAAAGCGAGGAAAGACCGCACGCGTTTCGTCTCGTCGCTCGTTGCTCGCTGTTGCTCACCGGCACGGCATCGGGGAAATGATAGCGCAATGCTGCATGGAGGAGACGGCCGGGATTGCACGGCGGACGACGATTTGACGATCTCCCTTCCCTTCCCCGCATGCCGCGTGGAGACGTCTTATGCTTTTGACGAAATTCGGGTGCAACCGGGTGGATGAGGCGGTGATGTGTCTTCAAGGTACCAATCTTCCATCCTTCCTCTGCAATACTCCCTCACGCCAACCTCTTCTCCTTTGTCCTATATTTTCCAATCTTGTCCAGCGTGTGTGAGTGAAGCATCCCAGCGGCCATGAGAGCGAGTGCGGGGAAGAAGAACCATCACTGTCGTTGCCGCTGGTCACTCGACCATATCACCTACGCTTCTGCACCCCCTGGGCAGGAGCCACTGCACCTTTCACTACCTGGGCCAAGTTCGACCCGTTCACTCACTCCCCCGACGTAAAGATGGCGTCCAGCAACAAGACCGCGTTCACTCAGGTGGAGATGATGCCCGATCCCTTGACCTTCACCCTCTCTCGCTCCCCTCCATCCTCTCTCCCGGCCTGGAGACGAGCCGGCCGCAAGATCTTCCATGTTTTGCGCACCTACTGCCACTTCGTCGGCCCCGGAATGATGATCTCGGTGGCATATATCGACCCCGGAAACTATGCCGCTGACGTCGCGGCCGGGGCCAGCTACCGCTTCAAGCTCCTCTTCATCGTCTTTCTCTCCAACATCTTCGCCATCTACCTGCAAGCCCTCTGCATCCACCTCGGCACCGTCACTGGCATGGACCTGGCCACGATGCTGCGCGTACACTGCCCCCGCTGGCTGAACTACGTCGTCTACGTCTTCGGAGAAGCGGCCATCATCGCCACCGACATCGCTGAAGTCATTGGCACCGCCATTGCGTTGAAGCTCTTGTCCAACGACAAGATTCCGCTGTTAGCCGGCTGTGCCATCAGCATTATCGACGTCGTTTTCATCCTGATCTTCTACCGCCAGCATGGCACAGCAACTTTGGCGACGCGGGTGTTTGAGTACATGATCGCCGGGTTGGTGCTCGGGGTGTTGATCTGTTTTGCTATCCAGCTCTCGCATCTCCACGACACCACCACTGGCGAGGTTTTCAAGGGCTTCCTGCCTTCATCCGAGCTCATCCAAGGTCAGGCGATCTACCAGGCTTGCTCCATTCTCGGCGCCACAGTTATGCCTCACTCCCTCTACCTCGGAAGCGGCCTGGTGCAGGGTCGGCTACGGCAGTTTGACGAGCAGAACAACTTGCTGCGCCCCGCGGCGGAGGATGACGAAGACTCGGCGCCGGGAGATAAGATCTACGAGCCTAGTCTGCGGGCGATTCGGAGCTGTATCGGGTACGCCATCGCCGAGTGCACCATTTCTCTCCTCACTTGCGCCTTCTTCATCAACTCCGCCATCCTCATCGTTGCCGGCGCCTCGTTGTACGGCATTCCCGGATCCGCTAATGCCGGCCTGCCCGGCATTTATCACCTCCTCAGCAACACCCTCGGCGCGTCAGTCGGCAAACTGTTCGCCGCCGCCCTGCTTTTGTCCGGCTTCTCCGCCGGCATCATCTGTACCATCGCTGGGCAAATGGTGTGCGAGGGCCACATCCGGTGGAAGATCAAGCCATGGCAACGCAGGCTGCTCACTCGCCTCCTCTCCATCCTACCCTCGATGGTCGTCGCGGGCAGTTTGGGAGAAAAGGGGATCAACCAAGCTCTGGTCGGGTCCCAGGTGGCGTTGAGCGTCATCCTACCCGTTATCAGTGAGTAATCTCCGTGACCCTTTCAACGCAACCGACCGACAGATGCTAATTTTTTATGTAGGTGCGCCTGTAGTCTATTTCACGATTCGCAGCAAATATATGACGATCATTTGCGATGCTTCCGGGCATCGAGTCTCATCGCCGGCGGTGCTGGCTAGTTCGAGGGCGGGCGAGAACGATCCTTCTTTGCAAAGGGTGAACATGCGTTTGCATCCTGTATGGGCGGTCTTTGGAGTGCTGGTCTGGCTTTTCATCACGGTTATGAATGTTGCATTGTTGGCATTGTTGGGCTTGGGCAAGACATGAGCTGGTCAGCTAGAGCGACTTCTCGATGGACACATGTATTGGACGCATAGGCATTTGCAGTGAAATATATCCTCTCGTGTAGAGTTGGGTTTCGTTTCATTATTTACTTATTAACAGTAGTCTATACAGGCCGTTATCCTGTTTTGATGCCACAATACGCCTTCGCTAACCTCGCAGTGATGATGATAACTTGAAGCAAACGCACCCGCCTTTGCATGCCTCATCTCCACACTAAGAACATCCCTCCTAGCACCTGCAGCCCCACGATCATCGTGATCATCTTCGCCCAGCCGATGAGGATGCGCACCGTGTCGGAGGTTTGCTGCTTCACCAACACCACCCCACACGCCGCTCGGGCAGTGGTGGGCAAATTGGGCCCGTTCGCGAAGATGGTCGAGCAATACGTTCCGTCAAAGTCGGTCGGACGCCATTGGCACTCGTCACACGAAGTGGTGCTGATGATGGTGGTGGTGCTAGAGCACGTGGGGCACGGAGTGGTAGTGGTAGTGATGGATGAAGGGGTGGTGGTCGATGTCCACCAGGTAGTCGTAGCATGCCACGAAGAATGCCAGACGGTAGTAGGGGGCGCGGGGCCCCAACCCGTCGACGTCGGAGGCGCGGCCCACGTCGTCGGCTCCGGCGCCCAGGATGAAGAGGGTTCCTGCTCGTTGCAGTCGCAGCCTTCCGGGCAGCAGACCACCTGACTGTTGGCCCACATGCAGTAGTTGTTTGTCGGGCAGCAGTAGTCGTCGGAGGAGATGGCGGAGCAGCTTACGGGGCTGCTGGCGGGGCAGGTGGGTTGTTTGGCTGGGGTGCCGCCGCTTTCGCAGGAGGAGCAGTGCGCTGGTTGCCATTTGCCTGGTGCACCGGCGTGGGCGATGGTGGTGAAGAGGAGGAGGCATGATAGTAGTATTCTCTGCATGCTGTGTTGTCGTTGTGGTGCCATATTGGAGGGTGTATGGGTTGATCTGAGGAGAGGTGGTGGACCGATGAAGGCGGTGCTGCGGCGAGGATGTGGTGGATGAGTGGAGGACGGATTGATGTGGTGTCGATGGTGATGATGGTGTGATGTGAAGAAGAGGGAGCAAGGAGAATTAAGGAAGAGTCAAGTGTCACGGAGAATTGAATTGGTTGAAAACGTCCGCGCAAGCTGCTGGGAAAGACTGGCGTCGAGGCGTAGCGCATCCCAGCCTTCTTTTTCGTGTCCACTGTCATTCCCAGCCTCTCGAGATTTGCTTACAAACGCCGCACGGCTTTGAGTCTCGCGATGCCATCTTCTGTGATAGATGTGGTCTTGTACTCAAGATATTGGCAGTTTCTCCATCAAACAATACTCTTGTTCATGTGGCATTCCGCTCTCGCCAAAGGCAGACCTCAAGTGCGTGCATGAGATGGTGATGAGGCTGGACTAGCCCGAATGGGTGGCGGGGAGCTGCATTAGCGCCATCTGATAAGCCACACCCCGCCACGCCCCGGCTGCACCCCTGTCCATCAACACGAGTTTGGCGATTTGGATCGGGCGCATACATTAACCCAGCACGCCTCACACACGCGGCCATGATGACATGAGTACCCGCGCTCGGTCATCCAATGATCCCCCCATCCCCGCCAAGCGCTACTTTGACGCGTCGCCGACATGGTTCGCGTGGAACCACCTGACCGCCGCCGACGTCGCTGCCTTGCGCACCGAGCCCGCCTTTGAAGGTCAACACATCTACTTCCACCTCAACCACCCCATCCACTTTGTCCGCCTGGTCGGCCTCCTCTCCTATGTCGAGATCAAGGCCGGCCGGTATCTTCTCCTCACCCTCGACGATGGCAGTGGTGCATGTATCGAGGTCAAGACGACACTGCGGGAGCGCAAGGCCGGCGACAACGCGGAGTACCCGTCCAACACCCTCGTCGACAATGTAGATGTGCATATTGAGCTCAGCCTACCCTGCCTCCGCATCAACAATGAACCCGTGGAGATTGGCGCCGTCATCAAGGCCAAGGGCACAATCGACACCTTCCGCAACACGCGCCAGCTCAAGCTCGAACGCATCTGGGTGGTGAAGGACACGAATGAGGAGGTCAAGGCGTGGGTGGAGACGGCGAAGTGGAAGCGCGATGTGCTGTCTCGCCCGTGGCATTTGACTCAAGCCGAACGGGACGAGATCGATGCGCGGATCCAAAAAGATAGCGAGAAAGAGCGGGAGCGGTCGCAGAAGAAGCACGCCCACAACAAGCAGTACGAGGAGCGGAAGAAACGAAAGTTCGAAAAGGACGAGCGTAGGCGCAAGCGCGAGGAGGAATTGTACAATGCCGGCGCGCTGCCAGGGAGTGGCAGCATCCCGCCACGAATTACGGACTCATGAAACGAGCGGCAGACCAACCTCCACCATACGAGACCATAGGACTACCGCAATCACGCTACGAGAGAGATGATGACCCTGATACCAGCACGTGTGAATTATCCGCATGAAGCGGGTAGAGGTGACCCTGGGAATTCTGATCTCACCTTGACGCGTCGAAACGTGCCTTCGCTACGTCATTGACTTTCGAGGGTGCCTGACCAGATCAGCATATAAGAATATCCACATAGCAACACAACAAACACCATCCACCATCCACAATCCATCTCATGCGTCCCTTCTCCCCACAATACGTGAGATCCATCAACCAAAGCATCCAAACAACAACCCGCTCCCAACTCTCCAAACGCCTCTCCGCAAGAATGTCGACCAACCACGGCGAGCTCAACATCGAAAACACCAACATCTCCACCTATCCGGACGTCAAGCTCTCCGACCAGCAAAAGACGCTCGTAGGCAGCGTCCTCGACCTCTTCGCCGGCCGCCCGTCGCTCGCCAAACTGCAACTCTGGAAAGACGACGCCACCTTCTCCGACCCGCTGACCATCGCCAAAGGCCGCGACCAGTACCAGGCGCAATGGTACGGCTTGCAAACCGCCTTTTCGGAAATCGAGCGCATCAGCCATCAAGTCACCAGCAGTGGGAATCCGATTGAGATGGACATGACGCAGCGGTATAAGGTCAAGGGCATTGGGTCGGAGCAGACGATTAGCAGTAAGGTGTTCATTCATCATGATGGCGACAAGATTACCAAGGTGGAGGATAAGTGGAACGGCAAGTTGCCTGAGGGCGGGATTGCGCAGGCTTTCCGTCGCTTGAATGCCGTGACGGTGCCGCATATCGTCGGCGTGCCGAAAGACGCTGAAGAGGATGCGAAGAAGGGGAACTGAAGCCTTGCGTTTGTACAGAAAGGTCTATGATCTCCTCTTCAAAACCAATACAGAAGGTTACGACAGTGTTATGAATCAATGCCACAGTATGCACGACTCATTCATGCTTCAAACCAGTCCTCTCAAACGCCCGAATCCACCTTCTTGTAATATGCAGTCGGCCTGTACTCCTTCCAAGCGTTGCACACCTGGTCGTAAGCTGTCCGATTCGGCATGAGGATCCGAGACGGCGATTCGAGAAACTGGATCGCGAAGCCTTCGCTCACATGGAACGAGGTATGGCAATGCATCAGCCAAGCACCTGCCACAACTGTCAGCCCACCAGATCGACATTTCGTGCACGTTGGAGGCATACCTGGATTGTCTGAAGTGAACGCCAAAGCCAGCCAGCCACCCGCCGGCATGGTCGCGGTGTCCCTTCTCACCGGTGTATCCCAATTCAACTGCGCGCCGCTGATATCGAATTCGCCAATCCCTTGGCCGAGAACAAAGAAGTCGTGGCCGTGGAGATGGACGGGATGCGGAATGGGTGGGCTGCGTGCTGTTTGTTGGACGATCCAGTAGTTCCAGCCGCCTTCGCTGACGGTGGGAATCACGTTGTACTCATTCGGGTAGTTGGAGTTGCCGTCCATGATGTAGCTGAGAGTCGGCTGACCAAGGTCCAGATTGAGCGAGGAGTTGCCGAGGGCCCAGACGAAGACGCTGTCGCCGCCGTTTGTGATGACTTGGTTGGTGAGGCTCACGTTGAGTGTTTGTGCTGTGCCTGGATGAAGTTTGCATTAGCACTTGTGATTGTGGGACCGCATCTGAGTCAAGAGAGACTCACTCGCAAAAGAGGACGAAGGTACAGGTTGGTCCCAGTATGGCGCGAGATAAGAAGGCTCAACGCAGCCGCCCTCAGTAGGGTTACCAGTGGTAGTGGGAGTCTGGGGCTCAACTCCCTCGTACGTCCAGACTGCCAGTCCCTGGCCGTGATTGAGGCTGACGCATTCAGTAGCGGACGAGACACGAAACCAGTAGTTGCCAGGAGGCTGGTTGGCGTCGATAATCACATCGTAGCGTTGCGCAACGTTCATGAGCAGAGTCTTGGTGTAGACGGGTTTGACGGGGCAAAAGTCCGCCGCCACGACTTGCATCGTGTGGTTGTCGAGCGAGACGCGGAAGAATTGGTCGACAGACGAGTTGATGAGCCGCAGAAGGTATCGCTTGCCCGCGACGATGCTCACTTGATTGTACTTACCATTGCCCTCGGCGTCTTTGTTCGTTCCATTGATCAGGATGTTGTTGGAGATCGGAGGCGCCTGCGCTGGCCCAGGGTTCGGGTTCTGCAGATTCGCGAGCGCGAGGGAGCTAGCTTGGAAGGTGGTCATGTAGTACCACTCGTTCAGCATATAGGGGCCGAGATCGATATCGTAGTTGGCGCTGGCCGGACCCTCGAAGACGATGGGCCCGATGACACCATCTCCGTACTGGCTAGATCTGTGTCAACAGGCGGCAGCAGGTGGGATCGAGACGATCAAGACTCACTCGCTGAAGTGTGAATGGTACCAACCGGTTCCGAATCTTGCCACGCCGTCAGCTGGTGTCTCAATCTGATATCAAAATGGGGACTCACTGCGTGGCCTGAAATGTATACGTCTTGGTATGGTTAGGGGCGAGAGCACATTCGGTGACTCCATTCACACCATCTTCTCCATTGCTGTTGAACTGACGCACGCCGTGGAAGTGGATCGAGGTACCGTTGTGTTGCAGTGCATTCTCGACCGTGACTTGCACGATATCGCCCCAGGAAGCGCGAATGGTGGGACCGGGGTACTGGTCATTCACCAGCAGGCAGACTCGCTCACCGTGGCCGTCGGGGTTGCAGGTGGTATTTGTGAGCTTCAGGTAGTACGACACGGTGTTGCCGGTGATGGGGAACTGTGTATCAAAGTCCGTGTCGATGCTGAATCCGTCCTTCCAGCATGCTCGTGTGCTGGGACCGTTGGTGCAAGGTATGTCTGACGTTGCTGGTTGGTTGACCGTTTGGCATGAGCTGGCGCCGTAGGAACAGGCTGCATTTGTCCCGAACAGGACGATCAATGAGATGAGGGATTTCATGGCTGGGTCGATTTCGGATGAATGCTGCTGTGGGATGTGTAGAATCTTGAGACTGATGAATTGGTGATGTATTTCGGAGAAATCTGAAAGGGAAGAGGTAGCATGAGAAAACATGTACTGCGCTGGGGCTCATCGCTGAACAGGGGAAAGGGCAGACCAAGACTTGCCTGCTTTGTGGTAATCGCGTTCAAGGGGAGAGGCAGTCGGAGGCGCCTCGAATGCTGACGAGGCAGCTGCTTCCAACAGTAATGTACTGCCGGAAAGAATGCGGGTGCAAATCCTGTTGGAATGAGCGTATCACGTTCCATTAGTTGAACCAGACACCTCACTTCCGCTCGCTCCAAAGATATCCGTCACCGACCTCCAGCACGGCACTTCTCCGAGACCAGACACAGTGTGTACTGCCTTGGGAGTCGCCCATTCCCGCAGAGTTCCAATAGCATGTTCCCTCCCGTAGCCAGACTGATTAACACCTCCAAACGGTGTCCCAAGCACATTTCGATGGTAGTTCTGCATGGGCGTTAGTGCGAACTTCTCGTGTGGTCAAGTGTGCAGAAGAAGCCCTCATACATTGACCCACACCATGCCTGCATTGATGGCGCGGACGGCGCGATTCGCTTTGAGTTGATCTTTCGTGAAGATAATTGAAGTCAAGCCGTACTCCGTGCTGTTGGTGATGCGAATAGCATCCTCAAAGGTCTCGAACGGGCTCACAGTGACTAGTGGTATGAACGTGGTCAGCGCGGTGACGCCAAAAATGGTGTAAGTGGCGATTGATACTCACCGACCGTGCCAAACATTTCCTCCTGCATTCTGTAGTCAGCATGGAGCCTCAAAAGACAACAAGTGTGATAGCCAATAGCTTGCCTTCGATATCCGCATGTTTTCAGTCACATCAGCAAAGAGGGTGATCGGGGCGAAGAACCCATCTTTGCATTCCGGGTCTGATGGCAAGGGAGCCTGGGCCGCAACTCGCGCTCCCTCACTCTTTCCCAGCGCGATGTAATCGAGGACACGCTTCTGCTGTGCCCTCGAAACTTGAGGGCCGACGTGGACGCTAGAATCCTGTCCATTGCCAGCCTTGATGCGTTTCACCCCGGCGGCCAGTTTCTCCACAAACTTGTCATAGATGCCTCGCTGAACGAGGATGCGAGAGCTCGCAGTGCAGGCCTCGCCCTTGTTGAAGAAGGCACCCTCTAAGGCGTTGCGCACTGCAGAGTCAAAGTCTGCGTCGTCAAAGACAATGAATGCGTTCTTCCCGCCCAGCTCCAGAACAACCGGGGTAACGGAGGCGCTGGCGCTTTTCGCCGTGGCAGCGCCGGAAGCAGTAGAACCGGTGAAGGAGACCATCTTCATGAGTGGGTGATTGATCAGCGCCTGCGGGACTTCCGGGCCCAGCCCTGGAACGATCTGCACAACGTCCTGGGGCAAGACGGTCTGCAGGATCTTGACCATTTCGAGCACGCACAGAGGTGCCTGCTCGCCAGGCTTGAGAATTATAGTGTTGCCTGCTGCAATCGCGGGAGCTACTTTACCCCCGGTGTGGATGGGAGGCCTGGCGATCGATTAGCTTTCATGAGAAACTCGCGTGACAATGCCTGAATGACAGTACCAATTGAATGGGAGGATGCCACCACAGACTCCGTGAGGTTCGTAGAAAACAGTGCAATACATGGCGCCTCGATTGTAGAACTCCGAGGGTAATTTGTCGCAAAGGCTGCCAAAGTAGCGAAAGACGCCAACCAAGAAGTTCAAGTCAAAGGCACGAGCGTCCTGAACCGGCTTTCCATTCTCCATGCACAAGAGGAGAGCGAGGTCGTCGAGATGCGCCTCGAGTGCGTCTGCGCACTTGAAGAGGTATCGCGATCGTTCATTGGGACTCAACGGCCGCCATCGCTCCTCGAATGCCTTCTGTGATGCCTGCACGGCGGCGTCGACGGTTGTCGCGTCGCCAGCTTGGATGGTGGTTATGGGTCTTCCGGTAGCAGGGTTCTCGACGACGAACCGCTTACTTTCGTCTTTGCAAGAGTAGTCATAAGTCGAGACCTCTGGATACTGAAGGGTCACTTTCGCCATTGTTCGGCTGGTTGACGGCCTATGTGTTCGCGGGACGGGTCAATGCTGTTGGATATGATTTGCCGGCCGCGGGCCTTTCGACCAAGCAGAAGAAGAAGAAGAACTGGTGAGATGCGGCCGGAGGTAAAGACAATGGATATACTTATATCAACGTGGAAGGCCTCGCGTCATCGAGCGGAGGAGATGGCAGTGGAGCGCTTAACTCCGTCTTATGCACGCATTGCACGTCCCAGAATGATCGCGGCGCGGATCAATGCCAGGCTGGTCAAGTGCGATGGGCAGTAATGGCAGATTGATGAGTTTGCCGATGGACGAGCGAACAGGTGTATGTTGAGGAGAGGTAGGTAGGTAGTCAACAACCCAGAATGTGACGAGTGACCGACCTCGGCTCTCGTATTCGTATCCCCGAACATTTCATCTCAAAGTGGCGAGTTGCATCCTCAATGCATTCCAATCTCAGCATTACTATCCCTCGCGGCTGCATTTGGGACAATGAGTCATGTAATACACCATCTCTTCGTTCAGCCATGGACGACTGACCGCTGACGTGCACATTCGATGCAGGATCCCCGTACGCCGCCTCTAGTATCTCTTTTGGCAGGCGGAGCGGCTGGAGCAATCGAGGGCTTCTCAACTGCATGTTGCCACGACCGCCTAATGATAATGCGCGGCAATGCTAACACGCCGACAGTATCCATTCGAATTCGCCAAAACTCGCGTGCAGCTTCGAGAGAAGAAGGGCCAACCAACTCCCCGCAATCCCTTCAAGGTCGTGGGCCAGGTGTACACGGAGGAGGGCCTGAGGGCATTGTACAAGGGCTGCTCGGCGCTGGTGATCGGTAGCGTGGCCAAAGATGGCATCCGCTTCCTCTCCTTCGACACCATCAAGGAGAACTTCAAGGATGCGGAGACGGGCACGCTGACGCCTCTGCGCAACCTGACGGCCGGCATGGCGAGTGGTGTCGTCGCGTCCATCTTCGCCGTCACCCCTACCGAGCGCGTAAAAACCGCTCTGATCGACGACGCGCGCAACGACAAGCGCTTCACCTCCAACCTGCAGGCCATCAAGCTCATCCTGAAGGAGGATGGGTTTCTCGGGCTCTACCGTGGCTTTGCGGGCACCACGCTGAAGCAAGCCGGCGCCACTGCCATGCGCATGGGCACGTACAACATCCTCAAGGACTACGAGAAGACGCGCGATATTGCGCAGACTACCCTCACCAACTTTGTTAACGGCAGCATAGCGGGCACCATCACCACCCTGACCACCCAGCCCTTTGACACCATCAAGACGCGCTGTCAGAGCGCAAAGGGCGCGAGCACGGTCGAAGCATTCAACAGTGTCATTGCAGATTACGGGGTCCGTGGCTTTTGGAAAGGAACGACCATGCGACTGGGGCGGACGGTGTTCAGCGGCGGGATTCTCTTCACCGCATACGAGTGGATGGTTGCCATCATAAACCCAATCTACAAGCGAGAAGTCATATAGAAGACAGGCTTGGATGAGAGTCTTGTACCCATAATGCAAAGTAATAGAACACCAGTCTTCCTCGTTGATGCCGCCCCGTACGCCTCGCTGAAACAACGACTCCCATAATCTGAACATCGGCTCATCATCATTTCGCACCACCCTTGCCCTTTTTGGCGTTCCGCGCGAAGGCCTCCTCCGGTGGCTCCTCCATGGACCGCTTGGATCCCGCCTTGCCCTTCTTGCCCGTCGGCGCATACTTTGCCTCCAAAGCATCAAAGAAGTTGTCAGCACGACCCTGCTGTCGCTGTTGGATCAGCGCGGCCAGATCGCCGAGATCACCGTTTGGCTTCTTTTTCCCTTTCGCTTTGCTCTTGCCGGTCTCTTGGATTTCCTTCGCTGCCTTTTCCGCCTCCTTTCCTTCCTGGTCTCGCCGTTTCTGTGCTTGAGTGATCCTTGCCTTTTTGCTCTTCTCAGACTCGTTGGTGTACTTGGAAAAGCCTTCCACCTCTCCGCTCTTGATGGCCTCGTCGATGATGCCGCGGAAGCGCTCTTCGTCCTCCAGCACATCACTAAGCATGACACTCGAGTATATTGCGCCCATGCTGCCTTGGTGCTTCTTGTATGCGGCGAGAAGATGTCTGCGCTCTTCATCGCCTCCCTTGTACTGCTTGGAGAAGGTGTCGATCGCTTCGGTCGTGACAATGTTGGCGAATTGCTCTCGGTAGAAGTCCACCCAGTTGAAGTCTTCATCATTCTCCAAGATCTCCTCCGTGCTGCCCGTGGTGTCGTATCGTTTTCTTCGCCTTTCGTCGGAGAGGATGGCATAGGCGAACGCAATCTCTTGGAAGCGGGTGTGGGCTTCGACTTTGTCTTCGGCCGCTGCTTTGTCGGGGTGGTTCTTCAGGGCGGCTTTACGGTATGCCCGCTTGATCTCCTCCTGCGTTGCATCTGGCTCTAAGTCGAGGACCGCATACGGCGCGATCTCGGGCAGAGCCTCCACGTCGATGTTTGATTCAGCCATCGTGGCAGGTATGTTGGAGGAAGATGCACGATTGATGATGACGACTCAAGGGTTGTCGGAGGATGCCGATGTAGCCTCTTTGGAGTGTCTTGTTCAGGCAGGATGGATTGCGCGGGTGGTGAGTGATGCGTTGAGCTGGCAGCTGGTAGGCGCGAAAGTACAAAGTGATTGAAACGCGGTTGACGCGCCGGATGTCTTGGCGTTCACATGCGTTTCGTCATAGCGCGATAGTTTCACTTCCACCTCACCTTTCATGTTACTTCAGCAACAATCCATTGAAACGGAACATGGCAGAGGATCAAGATGCAAAAGACCACGCGCACTTCATGCAACTCGCTCTCTCCGAAGCACGGAAGAGTCCACCCAAACCGACCAACTTTTGCGTAGGAGCATGCCTGGTGGCAGCTGGATCACCACCGACTCTACTCGAAACCGGCTATACGCTCGAATGGGAGGGCAACACACATGCCGAACAATGTTGCTTCATCAAACAGGCTCGGTTGCACGGGTGCAGCGAGGAGGAGCTCGGCGAGCACCTACCGCTGGACACAGTATTGTATACCACGATGGAGCCTTGTAACAAACGGTCTGTAGGCAATCTACCGTGCGTGGATCGCATCCTGCAATTGAGACGGAAGAACGGAAGTCAAGCGATTTCGACCGTCTATGTCGGAGTTGGCGAGCCGGAAACGTTCGTCGGAGTGAATGAGGGTCGCAAGAAGCTCGAAGATTCGGGCATTCGCGTAATCCACGTTCCGGGATTCGAAGATGCGATGCTGCGAGTGGCGACCGCTGGACACCCAAAGGGCGAGCTTTGATTGTGATCCCTAGACGGTAATACATCTACATGACCTTGGCCTTTCCCAATCAGGTTGCGGATGCCATCACCTGCTCCATCCACGGATAGATGCTGGCATTCGCCGGAGGATCTGCTGGATGGTTAGCGGAACACATCACGATTCAACGCAGCTGGACGAAACTGACAGCCCATATGCAGCAAGCCTGTGAAGAACCTGGCTTCCTTCGGCGAACCATACTCCATCATCAACATACTGTCTTCAATGGGCATGAGGCCATCATGTGTGCCGTTGACCAACAACAGGCGACACGACGGTTGATTGACAATCCCGAGTTCTACCAACGAGAAGTCCTTTTGTGCATTGTCGAGGAACTCGGATTCACTCTTATAGCCGAACTTTGCGGTGAGGGCCGGCAGCGCAGTCCATGGGTACTCGTGATCTTTCGCCTTCTCCAACCAGGGCCGGCTGAAGAAGTGATGAGTACCGGCGCCTTGCCCGACGGCGCCAGCGAGGCGACTCGCATGGGTGTGTGCGGCGCGGATGCCATTGTGGCCTCCAGCAGACACTCCCCAGCACATGACCCTCTTCATGTCGAAGACGCCTTCCTTCTCCATCCAGTCCAGGATGCTGGTCCAGAGGCGGTCGGCGGATGTGGGATCACGTCGATCGGCGGGACAATCGGCGGTGCCAGGGATATCCACGATGACAGATGCCCACCCACGCGCCAGGAATTCATTGGATCGCACGGTATTGTCGGGTCGGTGACCATCAAGGCCACACATGAGGATGACGGCAGGTGACGGCTTGGATCTGGAAGCGCCGTTTGGTATTCTGACATAAAGTGGCACCTCCTTCCCCTCGTCCTTGTCCGTGCCAGCGGTGTGCGGGATGACGACGTCCTTGATGGGAACGTCAAACAATGCGGCGGCCTTTAGATAGGCAGTCTTCTGTGCCTCATATGCCGCTGTTTTCACATCGCTGTTGATGTAAGGGAACCTTGCTATCCTGTACACCGCACAAGCACGCAGATACATATCAATGGCCTCCTGCTTCTTCCCCTCCTCATTCAACTTATCCGCGTTCTTCACCAGCCGCTCGCAGGTTGGCAAGAATTCTTTGGTGTACTCCACGCTGTAGCCATCGTGGATGCCCTTCTTGATCAGCGCCTCGAAGATGGGGGCAAAGTCCTCATATTTGCCGTCGTGAAAGGGGTAGAGGCTGCGCTCGCAGGGGAACTTCCACTTCTTGTTCCAGAGGGCATCGATGGATTCGAGGTGGGGATGGACTTCGTCGAATTTGTCGCCCAGGATCCAGCGAGAGCCGGTGCGAGGGTCGGTCATGGTGCAATGGAAGGGAGGCGCGGTGAGGGGTGGGGCGAAGGGTGGAAAGAAAAGAAGACAGAAATACGAGGGAGATCAGATGTAGAGAAGAGCGGCGTCGCTGCTGGACGCCCGCCCGAATGTCCGTCCGTACGTACCTGGCGCTAGTCCTGCAGCTGTCAACGAGAAACGTCACCAGGGACCACATGGCCATTGAACGTTAGACGTATCTTGCTTCGTGCGTGAAACTTGCTCAAGTCGGCCATCATGGATGACGAGAAGGGCATTCTCGTCTCGTTCGTGCGAGGCACGAGCAATGTCAAAGTTGTTGCGACGCGTAGTGGAAGAGACTTGACGAAGAGCGCGCCGCGGGGCATGCAGCGGTCATCCACATTTTGTCCCACGTCTTTCGCCGGCCCAGCTCGAGCTCCGTGGCAGATGCTCGGCACCTCGTCCGGGCCTCATATCGACCGTGCTACCGACGACAACCTCCCCTTGTACCTTGCGGGTTCTCGGGATGACGGAAGCTCCGAAGGACAAGCCCTCAACGGCCGAGGGCGTGGATGCCGCGGATTCGCACACCAATGGGCCCCCAAACGACTCCGCTCAGCCTTCTGATACGCTCGCGCCCGTCTCGAGTCGCTCGCCTCCGACGTCGCCACCACTCTCCCCCCCCCTTCTCGAGAAGCGGAGGTCCTCGGGAGCGGAAGACTACTACTCCTCTCGACCCAAGTTCGACAGACTGGGCAATCCGATACCGCAACGACGCCAGCCCGGAGCCATGTCGGCCGTGTACGGCTCTGCAAACATCCAGCTTCCCGGCGATCTTGGCTCAAAAGATCCCCGCCGTCCAAAGTCCCCCATGCCGGCCGCATTGCCCGGCGATCTGGGTCCGAACGACCCTCGCCGCCCACGGAGCTCCCAAGGTAGCCCAGCTCCCTCTACCCGTTCCAGAGCTCTAAGCGAGGAACTGGATGATTTACCGGAAGGCGCCAGGCTGCTCAAAGATCCCAAGGAGCTGCTGAAACCTCTTCGCCGAGAGAGCCAGGAGAGTGTCAATTCCGAGAACGACTTTGACACCGACGGAGAAGAGACTCAGCGGGGCAGGGGCCGCAAGAGGCCCGAGCCCGGAAGGACCACGTCCGGGAAGTCCATCAACGTTCGCGAAGAAAGCGAGGATTCCGTGCGAGAGCCCAGATCCTGGCCCGGCGGCGCAAAGCCCGATCCGACTAAAGGCGAAAGCAAGGCTTCCGTCCTGGGCACGCCGGAAGTGAGAATCACACACGCACCGACCAAGAAACCCGTCCATCCCAGCACGGCTTTCGATCTGCCCGCCTCGGGAATTTCGACACCACTGACATCCGACGATGAGTCCCACTCGGAGATGCGAGCTGCCCAGCAGCTGTCGCTGACCATGTCCAACATCCACAGCACGCCGAGTGCGCATCGGGTGATCAGGCAGATCGTTCGTGGCGACTACGCGCATTTCCAACGTGAAGCGGAAGAGGGTAGGCGACGACAGCGGATGTATCTGGTTGCCACGGACATATCACCCGAGTCCGAGCACGCCCTCGAGTGGACAATTGGCACGGTTCTCCGCGACGGAGACACGCTATTTGCCGTGTATGCGGCAGACGAAGAAACGGCGGGAACGAGCGGGGAGGGTGCCGTGGAAGTCGGCCACGGCGCAGACATGGTCAAAGATACGGCTGCCATTGTCAAGGGTTTACCGATGCCGAATGTTCCCAATTCACCCGGCCCGTCACCACTCGCTCGCGGCAGCATCATAGTAAACGAGCGCAGTCGGAGCCGCGGAGTATACAGTTCCGCCGAGTCGGAGCGAAGGCGAGCCCTAGAGGACATTACGGCTTGCTGCATTCGACTTCTGCGGAAAACCCGGCTGCAAGTGCGAGTTGTTGTGGAAGTGTTCCATTGCAAATCACCACGACACATCATCACCGAGGTGATTGATTTCCTGTCTCCCACCCTCGTCATCATCGGAAGCCGAGGACAGAGCGCGGTCAAAGGAGTGCTCCTGGGAAGCTTCTCCAACTATCTCGTCACGAAGAGTAGCGTGCCGGTGATGGTTGCACGCAAGAAACTACGAAAGCACTCCAAGAGCCGCAGAAACCGAGACGGGACCACTGTGCCGTACAGCGGCATGTCCGGAAGACCCAGCAGATTCAGCAATGTGATTGAGGTGCCGAAAGGAAAAGGCTTGCGGGTGAAAGACTGGAGTGCTGTTGGAATCGATTGAGCTGATGCGTTGTTCGGCGTGCTATATACCGGCACCGTACATGCTATGGATGTCCAATCCAGCGCTGCACACCCGACTATACTTGGATATGCACACACTTAGACGCTCTACTTCTCCCGTGTTCGGGGGCCAACGACATGAGTTCACAGCCCCAGCTTACTGTTTCTTAGTCAACGCACTCTAGCTCCACGTCTTATGACCCAATGCGGTAGATACCTCAGCTGCATCACAACGAGAGGCTTGCCCCGCTCTCCTCTCTCCCCTGGCACCTTGCCGCCACCACCGCTTGATTACGGTAATTGGAGGCTGCTCTCTAGGCACGCCCGTGATATCGCACGTCGCATGCAGGTAAGCAAGCAGCATAATTACTAAAGTCGTCTGGCACTCTTTCCCGCTCCATATGTTCGTGCTCTTTGCACCTTGCTCCTTGCACCTTGACCGATGACCAGCTTCCTTCGTGCTTCTGGAGTCCTTAGGAATACGCTAAGAGCAATGTCGACTGCCTCGAGTGTGAAACGGTTCGATGCGATCGTCATTGGGTCCGGGCAAGGTGGAACGCCGCTCGCATCCGCACTTGCACAAGCAGGCAAGCAAACCGCATTGATCGAAAAAGCCCACATCGGGGGCTGCTGCATCAATGAAGGATGTACTCCGACCAAGACAATGGTTGCTAGTGGTCGAGCGGCATATATCGTCTCCCGCGCAAGCGATTACGGAGTGTGGAACTTGTCAAATCCCCATGCCGGGAAAGCCGACGATCTCTCGGCGAGTAAGCCAGATCGCGGTTGGGATCAGATCCGCGGGGTCGTGGACATGGAACAGGTCAGGCAGAGAAAGAGGGATATTGTTGAGAGTTGGCGGGGAGGGAGCGAGGCGAGGGTGAAGGGGCAGAAGGGCCTGGAGTTGTTCATGGGCGAGGCCAGCTTCAAGGATGCGAATACGCTTACTGTGAAACTCTTGGAAGGCCAGGAGGTTACTGTCGCAGCCGAAACTATCTTCATCGACACCGGTGACCGCCCAGCAAGGCCACGACTACCTGGGCTAGACGACGTGGACCAGACCCGGGTACTGGATTCAACGAGTATTATGGAGCTGGGTGCCGTTCCAGATCACCTCGTCATCCTTGGAGGCGGATACATTGGCCTCGAATTCGGCCAACTTTTCCGCAGACTGGGAAGCCAGGTTACCATCCTGCAAAGAGGCAAGCAGTTGGCTCCACGTGAAGATCCGGAGATTGCAGACGCCCTTCGCAAGGTCCTGGTGGAAGATGGCATCACGGTCCTGCTCAACTCATCCGCCACGAGTGTGAAATCTGCTCACCCCGAGGAAGTGTCCGTGGCTTACAAGAATGAGCAAGGAGAAGAGGCAACGATCACTGGATCCCACCTCCTTCTTGCTGCAGGCAGAACACCCAACACGGATATGCTGAATCTACAGGCCGCCGGCGTGAAGTCCGACGCGAGTGGACATATTCCAGTTGACGAAAAGCTGCAAACCAACGTCTCACACATCTACGCCATCGGAGACGTCAAGGGTGGGCCGGCCTTCACCCATGTCTCGTACGACGACTTTCGCATTCTGCGTGACACGCTCATCTCTCCCTCGCCATCGCAGCCCCCGCGCAAGGTTTCAGACCGTGTGATCCCATACGTCATGTACACCGACCCGCAACTAGCCCATGTTGGTTTGCACGAGAGTGAAGCTCGCAAGAAGTATCCGAATGCCACCATCAAGACTGCATCGATGCCAATGGCGTATGTCGCGCGTGCATTGGAGACCGACGAGAGCCGCGGTCTGATGAAGGCGGTGGTCGACGATGGGACGAAACAGATTCTTGGATTCACGTGCTTTGGGATTGAGGGAGGGGAAATCATGAGCATCGTCCAGACGGCGATGCTGGGCAAATTGCCTTATCCCGTGTTACAAGACGCCATCTTTGCCCATCCTACCCTTGCGGAGAGCCTGAACAACGTATGGGGGTATCTGAAGTAGCTGCACACTCACATGCGAATGGGTCCGATCATTACAATTCATTTCCACGTAGATTCACGTGCAATCAGCCGTGTTTCACTTTGTTCTTCGTGACTTTACGTCGTGAAGTGAGAGTGAGGCTACGAGCGCGCTACGTCAGGCAGTACCGCTTAGTCATCCACCGTGGACGAATCCGGCGTGATTGTTTTCACGCGTTGGAGGCCGGCTTTGAACATGCACAACACCTGCACCCACCCTCCTTCATTGTGCCGCTCACCTTCCATCTCCTCCTCTCATCAGAGGCGTGCCACTCCTTCACAGACACACAATAATGGTGTAGCCTGGTGCCGAACCCAGCGTACAACATGCGGACACGCGCGCACGGCGCCGAGCCGGCGGCGCTCGACGTACCCTACCTCTCCACCCTCTTTGCGTATCCAGAGACCGAGATACAGACCTTGCTCGATGCACCCACTGCCGAGTTGATTAAAGACTTTCTGGCTGCTCTGACGACAAAGGGCCAGGAGTTCGATGAGCTCAGGGCGGACAAGCTTCGGGTGGATGTCGAATTGGAGAACAGCGTGCGCACCGTGGAGGGCAAGCTCAAGGCCCAAAAGACGACCGTCACCCGGCAAGCAAAGGAAATTGAACAGCTTCGTGGCCAATTGAACGAGGCGGAGAGCCAACGCGAACGCCTCGCTACCCAGCTTGAGCAACTACAGTCATCTACGTCCGATTCGAGTGCAGAAGGCGAAGCTTTGCGACAGCGTATCGAGACTCTCGAGGCCTCGAATCGTGATGCCTTGGCGCTTGTCGAGAGCAAGTCGACGGAGAAGGACCGGGTTGCAGCGGATCTTGCAGACCAGCATGGCAAGCTATTGTCTTTGCGCCGCGACATCAGTCAGCTCGAAGAGCGCAACCAGGCCCTTGACAATGCGGTTTCGGCACACAAGTTCAAAGAGCAGTCCTTGCAGCAAGAGATCGAACTTCTCAAACGGAACAACGAATGGCACACCACCGAGCTCCAGACTCGTAATCAAGAGTACGCCAAATTCCGGAAGGAGCGCAATGCACGGATATCAGGCCTGCAGCGCGAACTGGAGGACAGCACGGCCAGCGTGGAGTCTCTAAAACGCACCGAGACCAACTTGAGGCAACGGCTGGACGAGCTGCAAGGCAAGGCCGACGAAGCTTTCGCTCGCATTGCCAGTTTGCAAGAAGAGTTGGCACGCAAGGAGCAGGGCTGGAGTACAGAGCTTGAGGGTAGCAAGAGGCTGGCGGAGCTGCAGGCACAAAATGCGGCCACCCACAAGGCAAGACTGCACGCCGTCGAGGGACAGATGGAGCAGATTCGAATGGATGCAACGGAAGAGATCAGCAGACTCCAGGCGGAGATCGAGACGGAGCGCGGAGACAAAGAACAAGCCGAAGCCAAAGTTGCGGAACTGGAACTCGCCGTCGAGAAACTCGAGCAACAACCACGCCAATCACGGCCGGCCACGCCCATGCGTAACGGGCCACTTGATATTGCAACTCCTGGTCGCAGTGGAATGCCAATCAGCTTCTCCGCCTCGGCCCGCAAAACCGGACGACTACTCACCAATACTGAGTACGTGACGAAGATCAACGAGCTGCAGTCCGATCTGGACGCTGAGCGACGACGAAACCTAAAACTCTCGACTACAATTGACGAAATGCTCAACGAAGCCGAGAACCGTAGCCCGGAGATCCTCGAGCTACGGGACGAACAACAGAGGCTGCAAGAAGAAGTGCTGAACTTCTCTCGTCTCGTGGAGGATTCGAATGGCAATCGCGACAGTGCCATCAAGGAATCCGAGCGATGGCAGGCCGAGGCGGATTCGAAGGCTCGTGAGGGCGACATTCTCCGCCAGCAGTTACGAGATCTTTCCGCCCAGATCAAGATTCTGCTTGTCGAGATGCAGTTGCGTGACCAAGGCCTGGAAGCAATGTCGAGTGCAGAGCGCATCCAATTGGAGCAAGCTGCTCGTGGCGAGTCGGAAGCTTGGTCTGAGAATGAGACCATGACCAACCAGTTCATCTCCCAGAATCTCGTCATCTACCGTGACGTGTCCCAATTGCAAGAACAGAACCAACGGCTGTTGGAAATTACACGCGAACTGGGCGACCGGATGGAAGGCGAAGAGGCTCGTCAGAAAGCCGCCGAGTCCCAAGCCAACGCTGTCGAAGTGGAGCAACTAAGACAGCAAGTCGAACGATACAAGGACGAACTACAAGCGACCGCCACTCAAATTGATAGCTACATCAAGGAGCGAGACATGTTCAGGCGTATGATCCAGCACAAGGGCCACCTCGCCTCTGACGCGGATTACGAGGCGATGTTTGGTCGAAGCGCCCCGCCGCAGACTCCGCAACGCAACGGCGCTGAGACTGTGGCTCAGACGCCACGGTCGTCGGAAATCGACAACATGAACAAGCTTCTCAAAGAGCAACAAACATTCTTCGACCAGTATCGGAACGAGTCGGCCCAAGACCGGAAGACTCTGAAAGATCAGGTGGATGCGTTGGGTCGGGACAAGAGCACGCTCCAGGCTGAAGTCGCTCACTGGAAATCCCAGAAAACTCTCGCCGACGAGCGTCTGCAAATGTTGCAGGCCAACTATGCAGGCCTGCGCACCGAGAACTCCGAGCTTCAGAAGCGCTCGCAGGAGATGGCGGAGAATGCTGCAAAGCAGGACCTGCGGACTCAACAAGTCGCGGAGGAGCTGGTTGAAGCACGCTCTGCGTCCGAATCCCTGCGCAACGAAATTGCCAATGCGCGGGCCGAGAAGGAACTCTGGAAGCGGATCGAAAGCCGCCTTACCGATGACAACAAAGGATTGATGGACGAGCGCAGCAGGCTGAACAAACTTGTTGGTGATCTGCAATCCCTCCAGAACGAGCGGGAGCTGTCGGACTCGGAGAATAGACGGCGACTACAGAGTCGTGTCGAGGGCCTGGAGGCGGAATTGGGAGAGAGCAAGAAGAAGCTAGAGCAGACTCTGGATGACAACAAGAGGATGTCGCAACGGCGGGAGTACGAGGAAGGACAATCGCGGAGTCGGATCGATGATCTCGTCAAGTCTCTGGGCAACGTCCGTGAAGAGTTGGCTGCGGCCAAGACAAGCAGGGATTCTCTCCAGACGAGGGTCGACGAGATGAAGATTGAACTTCGTTCAGCTGAAGAGCGAGTCGCCGCGCTGCAGCCTCGTCCAACGCCTCGCCCGCAATCACAACAGGACGGTGAACAGCAGGCCAATGGTGAAGACGACCTTTCAAACGAGCAGCGTCTCGCACTGGAGCTGTCCGATGCTCGCCGTGACCTTGAACTCGCCAAAAACGAGCTCGAATCAGCTAAGGAGCAAGCTGAGCAGTACCGCTCTATCTCACAGGCGATGGAAGAAGAGCTTGCGAATTTCAACGAAACCAGCGAGCAGTACAAAGAAGAGATGGATCGTCAAATTGTGGAGAAAGATGCCCGCATTTCTGAGCTTCAGCAGCGCATCGATGATCTGTTGGCGGAGCTCACCACGACCAACAACGAGCTCTCGGAACTGCGTACAATGGATGAGAACGCTTCTCGCACGCTGAACGAGCAAAAGTCTAGCTTTGAATCGGAAATCGCGCGCCTGGGCGATGACGCCGAGCGGCATGCAGAGGAGAAGCGATTGTATCAGGCCGACCTGAAAGCGCAGGCCGAAATCGCCCAGCGAGCACAACAGTCTTATGAAGATGAGCTGCTCAAACACGCCGAAGCTGCTAAGGGCTTACAGGCTGTTCGCAAGGAATACAACGACCTCCGTACCGAAGTTGCAGGGATCCGCGCTGAAGCGGACGCCGCAAAAGCTCGTCTTGAGAGAGCCGAGGAGAGCTGGTCTGAGCAGCGCGATCGATTTGAACAGGAGCTTGAAGAAGCCAAGAACCGACGACGCGATGTCGACGAGCAAAACCGCCTATTGCATGAGCAAATGGACTCTTTCTCATCCGAGCTCGCTGCTCTACGGGCTGGACGCAGCATCCCCAGCGGACAAGGCGAGAGCCAACTGACGACTTCATCCGAGGACAGCAATATGCAAGAAGTCGTCAAGTACCTGCGTCGGGAGAAGGAGATTGTGGACGTACAGTATGAGCTTTCGGTGCAAGAGGCAAAGCGGCTTCAGCAGCAACTTGACTACGCCTCTGAGCAGCTCGAGAATACCAGACATACCCTCGCCGAGGAGCGACGGCAGTCCTCGGAGCAATCGGCATCTGAAAGCAGCACAACCAAGCTCATGCAGACCATAAACGAGCTCAACCTCTTCCGCGAGAGTTCGACGACTCTTCGCAACGAAGCGCGCCAGGCGCGCGAAAAGCTGGAGGAGAAGAGCAAAGAAGTCGAACGCCTGCTATCAGAGCTTGACCCTCTCAAGAGCCGTGTGGGCGAACTCGAGGCGGATGTCGAAGTGAAGGATGGAGAGATCAAGCTTCTTCAGGACGACCGAGACCATTGGCGGGAGAGGACGCAGAACATCATTTCGAAGTACGACCGCGTTGACCCGGCCGTGATTGAAGAGATGAAAGCCCAGATCGAACAGCTCAAGACGGACAAGGAGCAGCTGGAAACCGAGCAAGGGCCACTTCGCGAACAGGTTGATGGCATCGACCAGACAGTCGAGACCGCCGTGAAGGAGAAGTCGGAAATGTACGAGCAGAAGTTGGAGAAGTTCCGCACTCAAGCGAAGGAGCAGAACAGAAAGCAAGTCGCCAAGATCAAGGAGGGGGAGACTGCACTCGAGACTGCAAGTGCGGAGAAGGCCAGCGTTGAAGAGCAGCTGGACGCTGTGAAGAAGGAACTGGAAGAAGCGAGGACTGCTCTGACGGAGGCCCAAGCTGCAGCTCCGAGTGAGCCCAAAGAGAGCGGTGCAAATGAGCAAGACAATATGGACCAAACCCCAGCAGAAGACTCTGCAGCACTACAGGCCCGACTCGCGCAAGCAGAAAAGAGTGCCAACGACGAATCGAACCGCGCACAAACGCTTAGCGGCGAGGTGCAGACTTTGCAAGCCCGAGTCCAGGAGTTGGAAGTCAATGCTTCAACTCTACAGCAACGTCTGGACTCCGCACTGCAGCAAGAGGAGGGCGAGATATCGAATTCTGGCATCGCCGACACCTCAGCTCTGGACAACCTCAGGCAAGAATTGACGGCGGCCCAGCAAGAAGTCGAAACACTCCGCGCCAATGCAGTCAACCATCATGGAGAGAATGATACTTCAGGCGCCGCTCCCGCTCAAGAGGAGACGAATGTCGCCGAGCTGGTCGCAAAGGAGGTCGCTCAGCTTCGCCAGCAGATGGAGGAGCAGCATGAGTTAGCGAAGAAGCAGCTGGAAGAAGATCGAGATCGGCGGATCGAGTCCATGAAGAACAGCCTTCGTCAAAAGCTCAAGGAAGAGCGAGACAAGATTCGGGAGGCTGCGCGCGAGGAGTTGCTCGCGGAACACTCCGCCGAGATCGAGAAGCTCAAGGCGCAGCATGATGCGGCTATCACGAAGCTGAAGGAAGAACATCAGCAAGAGATACAGAGGTTGACCAAGGAGGGCGGCGCTGCTGTCGCAAAGGCTGAAGAGCCAACTTCAGCAACGAAGGCAGAGCCTGCAACCGACTCCGAGTGGCCAACTGAAGACCAGATGCTGTCGATGATGAAGACCAGCCAGCGCATCAAGGGCATCTTCAACGCTAATATCAACAAGAGGGTCGCCACGGAGACTGAGAAAGCTCATCAGACCATCGCCGAGAAAGAGGAAGAAATTGCCAAACTCAAGGCCGAGCGAACATCTGGTACGAACGACGCGCAACTGGCCGAGCTGCAAAGCAAGCTCGCGGCTGCGGAGGTGGAGAAGAAGGCAGCTGTGCAGAAAGCGGTGGATCAGGAGGGCATGAAGAGCAAAGTGCAGATCAGCCAACGCAACATAGCGCAAGCCAAGCTTGCCGTCGTACGCAAAGCCGCTCAAGAGACGCCGGAGAAGCCCGTGAAGGAGGTTTGGGAGGTGGCAGACAAGGCCAAGCCAGCACCGCCAGCAGCTCCTCCCGCGGCAGCAGCAGCCTCTTCGACTGTAGCGTCTCCTGCAGCGGCCGCTCAGCAACCTGCGGTCCCGCCCTCGACAACACAACCCTTGCCATCGTCACCTTCTCAGCCTGCCGACGGTCAAGACACGACAGAGGAGGAGAAGCTGAAACGCAGACAAGAACGTTTCGGCACCACCCCTTCCGCGTCAAGCGCTACGCACCCTCCCTCTGGAACCTTTGGGCAGCCTAGCCAGGTGCCGTCCGGCATCCGCCCTCCTTCGGGCACGTTTGGACAGCCTAGTCAGATGGTCCAGCCTGGTAGTCTTGCCCGCCCCGCTCGTCGTCCCAGCAATGCCGGACCCAATCCACTAGCGTCAGTCTTCCAACCCAACACAGACGCCGCAAGCGGACAGCAGATTCCCCGTCGCGCTTCCCAGCAGACGCTCGGCCGTGGTGGGCTTGCACAGCCTCGCGGTGGAGGGGCCGCAGGGAGCAACCAGGGCGCGGCCGGCGATGGTGGGCCCAACGCCAATGCCGCGGCTCAGGGCGCCAGCACAATCCCGCGCGGCTCTGGCATCCCTCGTTCGAACATGCCCAGAGGAGGTCGTGGAGGGACAATCCGCGGAGGTGCGGCGAATGCTGGGCAGAAGCGCCAACACGAAGGTGATGACGATGGTGCCAGCAAAAGAACTCGTGGTGGTGGACCTGGTGGCGCTTAGTAGACGGCTATGCAAGACTCTGTGGCTACGCAGTATCTTAGCTGAAGCATAGGGAGAAGCGGGGAACGTTGATTTGGAGCGGCATGGTCGTGGCTGATGGTGTAGCCAGCGTAGTGTTACAAGTAATTCGAGAGAGTTTGTGTGTATGTGTAATACGTCTTTGCGCACATCTAATTGGCCTCCACCTGTTTCTTGCGTACACCGAAGAAGTAGTTCCCCCAGTCTTCACTGCTGGGAATCTCCTTCCACCCCATCCCCGGCACATACACCACGCCCATAATCTGCCAGCCTTGAAACTCGGCGTCCACGTCGGGCTGGGTCCGAGCCCACGCTCGCAGCTCGTGAGGCTGGATGTATTGATTCCAATCATGTGTTCCCCGTGGCACCACTCCCAACACGTCTTCCGCCATTAACTTGGTTGTGAACCACGACGTATTCGTCCGGGCAATCGTGGAACCGATCAACCAACCGCCCGGCTTGATGTGCTTAAGACATGCTTGTAGGAAGGGAGCGGGCTGTCGAATGTGCTCTATGACTTCAAAGACGGTGAGGACATCGACCGCCGTCTCGGCAGAGGTGGGGAGCGGGAGCTCTTCGATGGAGCAGTTGCGATAGCTTAATCGGCCTTGTTCGAGGAGCAATGGGTCCTGCCGCTGGTGTCTTTTTGCGACGGAGACGACCTCGGGCGACGGGTCGATTGCCGTGACCGAGTGCGTATTTGGCAATCGAGCCGCCGATTCTGCAAAGATCCCACCGCCGCTGCCAACGTCGAGGTAGCGTAGCTTCTTGCCCGGCTCGCGGATGTGGCTGTTGAGGCATTGGCGGATGAAGTCGTGGCGCGGCGGGTTCATGAGGTGCAGCAGTCTGCTGGAGCCCTGAGGGTCCCACCATGATGAAGCCAGTGCGTTGAAGTGGGAAACTTCATCCTGGTTTACTGAGCTGTGATCGGAGTGAAATGCAGAGCTGGTTGAAAAGTATCGGGGCTGAGGGAGCGAGGTGGTAGGCGCCGCATGTATTCTTCCCAGTATCAAGGAGCGTAAACCAGACGGTAGCGACAGCAGGCCACGCCTGGTGAAGTGTGACATATTGACGAGATGTTGAAAGGCGTGTCTCTGCGAGTGGCCGTGTCTTAAACCAAAGTCGATACCACGACTTATGTCACCAGGTCCCACGAATATATTTCAACACAATACCCGTGGTTGGACAGACCCGACAGCAGTCCCGCATACGGAGGGAGGGCGCCAACAACATCTTTGAAGCCATCTTTCCCCTCACCCGCAAGCTCCAAAGGCACCAACTTCGCGTCGCAGCATCATCTGGAACGTCCTGAAGCACGTGGAGCGGGCAACACGCCTGTGTTACGCGCCAACACCCATCCTCACCGCACTCCCCTGCTTAGTCACCCCACCTCTACGAACACAATCACCTTACACGAACACGCAACGGCCCACATCCCTCGCCTCAGCCCAACGAACAGCTGTAGCGGTGGACTATACGAGCAGATAGCTGGATTTCACGCGTTCGGGCACCTTCGACATTCACAAGCAACGCGCGAAGCAACGAATGAAGACGTGCCGTGGGAAGCGAAAGCCTGGCATATGATTGACACCACGCTTTCACCACTGGAGGGAGGCTCGTAGCGGAGCCGAGCGGGCAAAGCTGGCGACAATCGTGCTCAACAGGAGCGCTCCCACGCCCACCAGATTGCGCGGGCGTGGGGTCCGTTATCAGGCGATTAAGCAAGATATGGATGCGGCAGATGATGACGTGGACGCCGAGGTGGCGGAAGAGCTAGAGGAGGAGGACGACGACGACGACGAGAGAGAAGAAGAGGGGGACGAGGAGGAAGCTGAAGGTGAAGAAGCTGAGGGAGAAGAGGAGGACTCAGATGCTGATGCTGAGGTGGCAGAGGAGGAGGAGGACGTCAACGATGATGACGATGAGGAAGGCAGTGAGGTTGTGGGAGCAGTCAAGTCAAGAGCAGCGCGATCCAAGCCCAGCGGTGGGCGATCGAGCCGAACGAGACGGAAGGCAGCTGAGGAATCTGAGGCTGAAGTCGATGAAGCAGCCGAAGATTCTGGAGATGATGATGACAGCTCGAAATCGGCCGGTGAAGATTGGGAAGGCGCCGACGAAGGCGTGGATGATGTTGAAGGGGGTAATGCTTCAGCCAGCCACTGCGTGTGAGTTCAAACACGAAGGAACGGATGATGTTGGAGAACAACGTGACTGACACATGATGCAGCTTCTGCGGCCAGGACGAGGAGCATGATCCGGGAGAAGAATACGAAGAGTATTTGGCGTGCGCGGTGTGTGGCGACAATGGTAAGTGCTTGCCTTTTGTTTATTGTCATTTTGTGTAATATCTGTGCCGTCTACCCATTCCAATGATCGAGTTGCGGGCGGGGTGGAAAGGGGACATGCAAAGTACAGCGGACGAACGAGACAAGCATGGTTGCGCGTGTCGATGTGAAAAAGAGAAGAGGGAAGAGGGAAGAGATGGACAGCGAGATATGCACGCCGTTGGTTTCAGGGTCCAGAGCACTGACTTCCGTTCCTGCAGCTCATCGACAATGCGCCAGAGACGCGGGATCGCTAGCTGCCGACGAAGGTACGTCCACTGCCAAGCAATTGCAACATCACCTCCGTATGCAACACCCAACTGACTCCGGATTACAGATGCAGCCGAATGGCGGTGCGAAGACTGCGTCGCCAATGGCCTCGAGGCCGATTTCAAAAATGTCCCCGGCATGCTCTCGTCGTCTCGACGTCGCTCCTCCGCTCCCCGAATGGCTCGCGATCTGCTGCCCGCTGCAAGGGGTGGCATCAAGCCCGACTCGCACTCCGTCTTCAACACTCTTATCCTCGACGAGGATCCCATGGACGGCTCGCGATCGCTTAGAAAGCGAAAGACGCCTTCGGCCGATGATGTGGACGATGCCTCGCGTGCACCTGCGCGGAAGCGTTGGCGTGCGAGTACTGTCGACGAAGAAGAGGAAATGCAGGATGGTGTCCCGCCTGCTATTGCCGGTCTGGATGGAACTGTAGACGACGACGCCTCGCCGAGATCCCGCTCGGGCCGGCCTCAACGCTACCAGAAGCGCAAGCAAGGCGCACGAATCGTTTCGCACTCCGATGACCCGAAAAGCCTGGTGGTCTCCATCCCCATCACCGTCTCACAGTGGGATGAGGTCGAGCGAAACGTGCTGAAGAAACAAAAACGTCGCGAGCGCGATCGCTTGCGCCGCGCAAGAAACAGCCGCCGCACCGTCACGGCCGAACCCGAAGATTACCAGCACTTTCCCGCCGTCCAAACGACCATGTATGCCAATCCCTTCTACGCCTTCCCCGATCGCGAGACCGATGAAACGAAGGGCAGGCCTTACGGCGGCATTCTTACGGACGGCGAAGCAGAGACGACGCGCACTTATCCTCAGGATGCCGACCGACTGGCCTTCCAAGCTGCTCGCGACCAGGCGGAGCTGCAATGGAAGGAGAAGATGGCACAGGCAAACGGAGAGACTCCGGCTCGATCCAAATCGGCAGGCCCGCCGAGCAAGATCAAGTGCATCAACTTTGGCCAGTACGAGATCGACACCTGGCACGCCGCACCCTACCCCGAGGAGTATAGTCGCAACAAGCACTTGTACATCTGCGAATTCTGCCTAAAGTACATGAGCTCCGACTATGTGGCGTGGCGACACAAGCTCAAATGCTCAGCAAAGCATCCGCCGGGCGATGAGATCTACCGAAACGCGGTCGTCAATCCCGAGACTGGCGTCGAGACTACGCTGTCCTTCTTCGAGGTAGACGGGCGCCGACACCCGCTGTACTGCCAAAATCTCTGCTTATTGGCCAAGCTGTTCCTGGGATCCAAGACCCTCTATTACGATGTCGAACCGTTCTTGTTCTACATCATGACCGAGAACGACGACTTTGGGTGCCACTTTGTTGGGTATTTCTCCAAAGAGAAGCGTGGCTGTGCGCCGCTACCCGCGACACTCCAGAACCCTGTTTCCGACGACTCTCGAGACTCTCAACCGAACGGCGATACAGCCGTCGACGCAGACGGCCTGGACTCGGTGCTCAGCAATCCCGGCAACAATGTCTCGTGCATCTTGGTCTTGCCGGTTCACATGCGACGTGGATTCGGCAGAGTCTTGATCGAGTTTTCGTACCTGTTGACCAAGGTCGAGGGAAAGACTGGATCACCCGAGAAGCCATTGTCTGACATGGGTCTCGTCTCCTATCGGTCGTACTGGCGCACGGTCTTATGCACGTTACTGCTGCGATATCAGGATCGAGCAGCGGGCGCGCACGTGGGAGAACAAGAAATATCTATTGTGCAGATTGCTCGAGAGACCGGGATGACGCCCGACGACATCATTTCGACCCTGGAGGCCTTGCGATTTCTGGTCAAAGATCCCATCACGGAGCAGTACGCACTTCGACTCGACTATGAGTATATGCGAGAATACGTGGAGAAGCATGAAAAGAAGGCCACCATCACCCTCGACCCCGCACGGCTCTGCTGGACGCCGTATGTCATGTGCAAGCCAACCAACCTCCTTACTCTGGGTGAAGAAGCTGCGCAGCCGCTGCAGACTGTCGCGCCTCGCGAAGAAGGAGCGGCCTTCACCGTTGGGCACGATCACGGCGCCGAGCAGATGCGAGAGGGCCGAGGCAACAGCTCCGCTCACAGCGAGGATGTGCATGTGGAGAGCACAGAGACCGGTGACGAGCTGCAATTGAACAGCGTGGCATCCCAGGTCCGCAAGACATCACTCATGCCTCCCTCACTGACGCCGCAACCCTCCTTCGCCGAGAAGCTGCACGACACATCCCGCAAACAATCGCCTCGCAAGACGCCAAATGGAATGCAGAATACCACGCGAGAAGGGAGTCCGATCTCGTCGTCTTACTATTCAGGCTCACAGCCTACTTCCGCCGGTCCTGTGCCTCCTACTCGATACGAAGTGTGGCCTCCTCTTCGAGGCATGGTATCAACCACGAAGCGACGCCCCGGCCGACCGAGCAGACGCAGGGGTAATAGCGGCCAGTACGGCACGCCTGCGCGACGCTCTACGCCGCGGGTTTATAGCCCTAGCACGGCAGGAAGACCGACCATCACTCGTCGGACGCGGAGTAAGCTCGCGGATCTCGCCATATCGGCTGCACCGGAGGAGGAAGAAGAGCAGACAGGGGATGGAGCAGCTCCCGTTGCGGGGGTCAACATTGCGAGCGGCGAAGCGGCAGTCGATGAGGAGGACGAGGGGGATGGGGCAGAGGAGGAGGAGGAGGAGGAAGGAGAAGAGGAAGACGATGATGGTGGTGATGACGACGACGACGATGATGCAGAGTTGGATGCCCCGGGGGAAGATGACGATTAGTAGCCGGACGTACGTAGCAGGGGAAGCTTGAATTCTTAACACTCGTGTCGCTCGCCGCAGGGCCGTCGGAAGGTTCGTGCACTAGGTAGCTTCCCTCCCATGGATAAGTCGAAATTGCGCGTCGGCGCCAAACTCATCCCTGCGCGGGCGGTGAACCGGCGGCTCCCTTGTTTTTTAGCCCGTCACACCTGTCACGTCGCATCCACGTTTTCCCCAACCAAGATTCGTCGTGGTTGTTCGTCGTCGTCGCATGGTACGGCATGGCTGGGTCCCGTTGAACCTTGCCGCGCACCAGCGAGGTATAAGAGTCGTGGGCGTCCCGCTCTTTGATTTCAACTGTTTCCAACCCCGCGATTGCTGTTTTTCTGGCCTTGCGAATTAGGTGCTATATCTACAACCTGTAGCTTGGGCGTCCAAGTCCTCTACTTCCGCGCCGCTAGGGATACAGTAATTACGCGCACGCTCGGAACGCTGTCCAAAAATTGAATATGAGCCGCCTCTGCTCCTAATCCCCTCGACCCGAGTCCGACGCGCCGAGCGCCGCGTTCACCCCTCATCCTCTTCCGCGCTCCTGATCAGGGTCGACTCATCCCGCGCCGACACCTCCCTCTACCACTGCCACTCCGTCCGCAATCCTTATAGCGGACTCGTTTGTTGATGAGGAGTTGGATACCCCTCCTTATAATGCGCTGCGCCGTGGTCCATGCCCACCGGCTGCTGGCGATACGAGGGTACGAAGCCTCGATTTAAGATACCGGAGTCGAGCGATTCGTGATCGTCCGGCAACGGCACGCCGTGTGATGCGAGCGAGCCGCGCGACGGATCCGAGTACAGGTTGTGCGCGTTGTTGAACTGTCTGTCGTGATACCGCGCGACCGCACTCTCCTGTAACTGTGGGTCGTACGCTGCACTCGTGGCTGGCTGCATACTTGACGTGTAGCTGGGGACCGGCTGGTTTGCCACGCCCATGCGGTATCCCATCTGACTGTGAGCATCTCCGACGTGGTGGTGTTGCACGGCGTAGCTCGGATGCCCTCCTATACCATCGTCACTTTCGTGCTCTTGAACGTCAGCCCGCGCTGCGAGGAAGGATTGCTGCTGTTGCGACGTCGAGGTGGGGAGCGTTTCGGAGATGGAAGAGGGTGTATGCAAGCCGCCAAGAGAAGCACTGAATGTTTCATCGCCCGCTCGCAGTCCCGCTTGTTGACCATGGTGCTGCGCGTGGGCTGAAGCTGCCCCGTCTCGGGCCGTGGGCGCTGCGTGGTGCATGGAGCTGAGATACGGACTGGAACTCGCGCCGTTGTATGGTGCCGCAACGTGCCCCTGTTGCATTGGCCTTTGCCAGCTCGAAGCTGAATTTGATTGGAGGTATCCCTGGCCCATCAGGCCGGGATACGGCGTGCCTTGATCGAGTTGATGGCTGGACTGGGGCTGGCTTGGTACACCGTAAGTGTTGCCTTGTAGGACGTTGTTGTACTGGTACACCGGGTTGCTGGGGACTTGTTGAGGATAGTACACGTGTGAGTTGTAGTCGTAGCCCGATTTTTGCCTCTTGGGCGCGGGGTGGGCATAGGGACGATCGGTTTGCACGCCATTGTACACTCCGTACGGTCCGGCACGAGCAGACGACGCGACTGGGGAGCCCCCATATGCCCGTTTGGTGCTGTGCGCGGTTAGCTCGCATTCCGCACGCGTCATTACATTCATCGACGTACCCTTGGAGGACGCGTTGCTCTTTGCGCAATCTCAGGCGAACGCCCTGGTCTGAAAAGGTGCGTGAAAGGGGCGTCGATTCTCGTTGACCGCGAAACTCTTTGGATGAGACAACTGCTACACTTAGCCCTGGTCGATTGACTGACGCGGAAAGGCCTCGCAACATACCTTGGAAGGGCTCGGAGACCGTGCTCTTGACAAAAACCGCCTCTCCGCTATTCCTGTCGGTGGTAAGCTATAGATCCGCGCGCAACGCGGCTCGAAAGATGCATCACTCACTTCTGGAAGTCGAACAGGTTGAACTGCAATCGATAGAAGCCGATGCGCTTGCACGAGATGTCGCCGAAAACGAAGTAGCCGCCATCTAACGCGGGATGTTAGGTGTCGAAGAAGTCTCGGGGGCCAAGTCCACACATACCAGCGTTGTTCACGTCTTTCAAACGATGCAAAGATGACACGGTCTGCCCGAGGAGGTTATTGCCCTGCACGGGCTTCCAGGCGTCGGTGGAGGAGGGATCGTTGGGATCGCCCTGGGGCGCCGGCTCGGCCTCGACCAACACTGCGATCATGAACATGAACGGGTTGACAAGCCAGTTTCTGTTCGACGAGTCAGCCCCTTCATCGCACAAGACGGGCACTGCATGCGCGATCGTACCCCTGGTCATGACTACGCTTCTCATCGACCTTGATTTGTACGATGGGCGGAGGATCTATCGCTTTTCGCGCTGCACGACTGTTAGCGAAAAGGCGTTCACTCGTGACGTGTCGCATAGCCCTCGTACTCTTCTCTTTGTGTTCACTGGTGATCAACGCCTGTTGAGGCTGCTGGCGCACCTCGAGCGTCACCAGTTCCCTGCTCGTGGTATGTCAGTGGGAGGGACATCAGAAGTGGTGCCGCTGGCGGACTTACTTATCCAGGACTGGATACTGTCGCGTCGGTCGCATCCCGTGGAATGACATGTGGTCGACCGTGCGTTGAAGGATATAGTACAGGCGGTGGGAGGGGAGGTTTGGTCAAGGATCAAGTAGAGAAAATGGTGAGCAACGTCGGCATGTGGGTAGCAGGGCCAGAGTGCGGGCGGGCGGTTGGCGAATGTTTTTAGCCCACGGGCAATCGGCGCATGAACCAATGTCGCGGTTGGCAAAGGTCTAGCTGGTTTGCATCGCGTGAGCTGTGATTTGCGCAGTCGAGCTCGTAATCGAATGAGGTGGGGCGATGAAGAGTTGACGCGGTCACGAGGTCTTGGCCGGTCTGGCGATGGAGGAGATCGTTCGGCGCGTCGTGGGACAGTGGTCTGCGCGGCCGGCGAGAGGGATGATGAAGTTGAAGGGAAACCGCGAATCGTCCGGTGTTCGACACGGGAGAGCAGTTTGGTGCGCGGAGATGCGACGGTGGGCGGCAGAGAGCTATTGAGTTTCGAGCTGGGGGATCGACGGCGGCAGCAACGGCGGCAAGACGTAGGGTGGTTGTGGGAGTGGGGATGTTGCGATAGTGGCCGCCAGACGCAGAGAAGACAGTAAGACGTGGCCAAGGGAAAAGCTTGGGGGCGTTGGCCCACCGAAAGCGGTGGTGGGGAGGAATAATAAGAAAGGTCGGCAAGGTCTGAGGAGGGATGTGTCTGCACAATTTCGTTAGGCAGAGCTCTCTGGTGCTTGCTCGGGGGCCGGGGCGCAGCAGAGGACTCGGCGCACCTGTCAGGGAATGCCGATCACGTTCGCAGACGGGAAGCCCCACGTTAGTGCTCTAGACGCTGCTGCTCTACCAAACTCGCGGGCGAGAGGGTAAGCAGTCAGTGTTGGGTGATGCAGGCAGGGCGGGAAGAGAAGATGCAGCAGCGGGAGGAGGGAAGAGCGGAACAGGCAGGTAGCTGGCTGACCACGGGTGGTGAACGAGGCTGGGTCCTTTCGTGGTCGCGACGTGAATTGATGGAGAGAGAGGGCGAATGTTGTTTGGCGGTGGCCGCGACGGGCGTGCATGCACACGATAGCCTTTTGTCTGCGCGGCGAATCTTGGTAGAGGAGGGCGCGCTGGATGCGTTGAAGTCTATCTGCTCGCTACCAGAGTTGGGCAGGAGCGAAGACGCCCACAAGGTCAGGCCAGGCGCTTCCTTCCACCACCACGCCGCTGTCGTCGTTAATCCTCGCTCATCTCTCTTCGCCCGGGGAAATGCACAGGAAGGATCCTCCAGCCTCTTGCAGAGATGATGATGATGGCGGAGACGGGGCGAGATCGCGTCTCAAATTAGGTTTCGAAGATGCAGGCGACGGGACTCGTTGACGGACCCGCTCTCTGCGCTTGCCGTAGCTGCTAGTAGCAGAAGGGTTTGGCATTCGGCGTCCGGCGGCGATGGATGACGCTGAGAAGGAGGCTGGGCAGGGGAATCACAATAGGAAGAAGCAATGCAGAGAGGGAGCGTGGGCGTGGGTGGATAGGAGACAGAATAGAGCGCCATCTACCCACTGGCGTACATGAACCACGCGCGCCCGTGAAACTCGGTCCCATGCATGCATGCATGCGCGCGCCGCCAAGGTGGACAAGCATATCCATGCCACGCTCTCAGGCACACTCGGTATGTGACGCATCTGGCATTCGAGGGGGGTGGTGAAAACCCATCATGCACCACGAGCACTGGACAAGCGAACCCGGGCGCCGGCGGCGCGTTAGCTTGCTACAGGTGGGCCTCAAGCAGGGGCCGGGGTGAAGTAGCTCCCGGCTGATGATGAATAGAGCGAGGGAGGAGACTGGGGGGAGGAGGGAGGGAGAGGTGGGGATGGCCGATACGCGCTGCAGGCTGGGCCCGGCCGCTTGGGATCTGCTGCAAGTCATCGCACGGATCGTCTTTGCTTCTAGCCTCAAACTCTGCTGCCGGCAAAGCAGGTGTGAGCTTAAATCATTCCTAATGGTTCGGCGGATAGCCATTATCGTCGGAAAGACTACGGCATAGACTTCAGACAGGTACAGAATTGTTATTGCGTTGTGCGCTGCTCCCCTTCTCGGCCCCTGTCGCGGCTAGCGCCGTGCAATTGCAGGCGACTTCTGCTGCGTGCCATCAGGTTTTTCGCACTCGTCGCCCGTCCAAGCGAGATTCTCTTGCCCCCAACCCGGAGCGGACGGCGATGCCACAAGGCCCATTTTAGCCTCTTACCGCTTCTGGACTTTAGGTTTGGCGAAGCAGGCCCATGTCGCCGATTCGCTCCAAGGACATTGCGCAATAAGGATCGCCTGCGTCGGATCTCTTCACCATCCAAAGCGACGACGGCGCGAAACGGAAGTTGTCATCGACTGCTTGACGCCCGAAATGCCGACCGCATGGCCCGTCGCACCCGACTCTTCTCTTATTCGTCCCCTTTCGTCAGAAACACCGACCCCGGCGAGTGCAGACAATTGCTTTGTACCTTGTGTCTGTGCATCGCGAGCGTTGCCGATTATGCTTCCAAGCCGTTACACAAGGCGCATTTTACCTTTTGCGCCCACGGACAACATCCATGCGTTCTGAATGACCTCAGCACATCCACCTGACTGGCTGGGTTTGACATTTCCGATGTGTCGAAGAACGCACCGAACATCCACATCCACGCCACACTCGCTGTACATGGCCTACAGTTCGCATTCCGGTGGCTGGCAGCCGCGCAAAAACGACACCCCTGCCGCCCGACTGCGGCTAACCGAACGTCCAGCTCGGCTCTGCCTCTCTTGTCTCTCGTTTGCCCCGTCTCAGCATGGCCAGAGTCGCGTAATAAACGACCGCCTCGACTCTCCTGTGTACAGGGTAGCCTTGCTTGTTGGGGACCTGCTGACCTTGGTTTTTGCAGTATAGTACATGGGTAAAAGGACCGGTCGCTCGTGACTGCCCAACCGTGCGCACCTGTCGCGATCCGTCTAGAACGCATGGCGCTGTGGCGCTCGCGACGTCCAGAATTAGTACACTGGTCGTGACAAGCACCTGCACGACGCCTCAGAACCCTGCTGGCAAGCCACCACGATAGTTTCACCGAGACGTGTGGGCTTGATGAACGCGGTGCAATACGGTGTCACGGTCCCTCCCTCCCCTTTTTGCCTGACGTCTGCGGTCAAGGATCATTGGAGCGAGCAAAGCAAAGAAGCAAGTATGGTTGCTTGATTGTGTCAATCCTGCCAGTCGATTGGCCCGAAAGTTGGCCTGCAACAATCATGAAACCGGCCAGCTCCTCTTCCAAAGTCTTCCGGCTCACTGAAATGCCCATGCCGTAGAACACAGAGAGCCGCGCATTCCATCATGTCCCTCGAAGCATCCGTGACTAGTGATTTCTTATGGAATCAAGGCGTGTTGCTCCATACGGATGAGTGCGTTGTCAGTGATTCAACGTCCATCGGAGTTTCGACGGAGCTTAAGTGACACCGGGCTGTAGTAACGGTACAAGACATCGGACCATGTTCGATCACAGCCCCAGCATTCTCGGAGCTGGATGGCATTGTCCTACGATGATCATACCTGAGTGTTGTCACCCGTTTACCTCATGGACAATGAGGAAAACAAGTCGGGTTGAGGCTGTATCGGAAGCGCGTCATGACGGGCCGACCTTGATGGCGAGGCTGTGGTCGCGCTGCAGTTGCCTCCGCCCTTGGCACAAATGCACAAGGCGACCAGTAAAGTCTCCCAGATGTCTATCAGGAATGTGGAAAAGGCGTAGAATAATTATGCACTGGGCTTGCTCTTGCTTGGAACGATGTTGCTTTTTTAACAGGCCGCCCCATCTGCCATGCCCCGCCGTTAGGGAAAAACGCCACGGGCCGAGGGTTGAGCCGAGCAGATACTGTTGGGCGACATGCCATTCTCACGACACCGCATTCCTCTGCAATCCTCAGCTGACTCCCTCACCACCATTCGCCCCGCAGTCAACGACACACTCTACCAAAGGCGGAATCTGAAGCATGGCCGGGCAAGGAGGAGGTAGGTGATTGCCATTTCCGCCCCTCACAAGTGACATCCCTATCGGAGGCCAAGATGCATGCTCTGCGTGCCGTGCGCCGGAGCCTGTGCATGTCTCCGCGGCTCACCGTCGTTGCGCCTTCTGCCATTCCCATGACACGCGGCTTGCATGCGTCGACCACCAGATATCGTATGCGAGCTTCGCAGCCATTGAGAGTTCGGACACCCTGCTAACCACGCGGATTCTAGACAACGCTTTCCAAAGCAGCTTGGAGAGCAACAAGAAATGGGCCGAGGAGACCAGCAAACGCGATGCCGACTTCTTCCCCAAGTCCGCCAAAGGACAAGCGCCGCAGATCCTCTGGCTGGGATGCTCCGACTCGCGCATCCCGGAAACCACCATCCTCGGCCTGAAGCCGGGAGACGTCTTCACCCACCGCAACATCGCCAACATGATTCATCCCACCGATCTGAGTTTGCTGAGTGTCGTGGAGTTTTCCGTCCGGCATCTCAAAGTCAACCACGTCGTCCTCTGCGGCCACACGAGCTGCGGAGGAGTCAACGCCGCGCTCGGCAACAGCAAGATTGATGTCCTCGATCTCTGGCTCGGTCCCATGAAAGCTTTGCGAGAGCAGCATGTCGCCGAGCTGGAGAAGTTGGAGGGGGCGGAAAAGGCGACTTACCTGAGCAAGATCAACGTCAAGCACGGCGTTGAGCAGCTCCGACGCCTTCCCCCTGTCTTGGAAGCGATGAGGGACCGCGGCTTGCAAGTGCACGGCTTGATCTACGACCTCGCTACTGGGCGCCTGGAGGACCTCCATTGCGGGGAGCATGAGTCGGCGGGCAAGAAGAGACTTGCCGTGTTCGAGACGAAATAGACATATATCGCTGACAGGCTCGTCCTCCGTGTCCGTCTGCATTGCGACACTTATTTTAGATAGATGTTCACGGTCGTCGGTCTTCAAATCGACCACAGCTATATAGCACTACACTCAACGACTCTCCAGCGTCAGCAACAAACAATGCCCGTTCTTTCCGATTGGCTCAGCAACGTAACCTCCATTATGCACCATGCCATCGTCAGCGGCCACGCTGGTCTTGAAAGTGCCCCAGATGGCAGCGATGATGGCCTTCATGTTGACCATGGCAAGATTGCTGCCCACACACATCCGACCCCCCGAGCCAAACGCCCAGAACCATCGTTGCATCTCCTTGAGCTCCGCCGCGCTGCTGTCCAGCCACCGTCCGGGGTTCCAGGTCTCGGGGTCGTGGAAGACCTCTGCATTGCGATGCAGACTCCAAGCTTGCGCTTGTACACGCACATTGGCTGGCACACCCTTGATCGTGTGCTCTGGCGGCCCGAGCGAGGCGCCTGCAGGGGTGATCCGGGGCTGATTGCCGGGGATTGCTGCGTGCAAGCGCAGTGTTTCCATCAACGCGGCGTGCAGCACCGGCAGTGCGTCAATCTCTTTAGCATCCCACCCAGGCTGCAGCCCCTTGAGCTCTTCATGCAGCCTTTCCTGCCATTGCGCATTGTGGAGAAGACTCAGTTCCCACGCCAGGAAGGTTAATGTAATGGAGCTCGTGTCGAAGCCTGCGAGGGTATGATCCAGCAGTTCACTTGCAATCGCCAGTCTGTGGTCTGCCACGACCTTCTCAACTGACACGTCGCGGCCTTCTTTCGTCTCTGCCTCTTTGAGAAAGGCACTTCGTAATTGCGCATAGACCGTGGGCCAGTCTTCCGGGTGATCTTCCTGCAGCGAACCATCCAGTCTTACAGTTGCTTCAGACTTGTCGCTCATTTCGATAACCCAGTTTTCCAGGTCTTGGTTCGCTGGGCCCACCCACGACGGTACAATCCAGTGCAGCAGGCCAATGTATTGCAAGAACCCGGTAAAGCGAGGCAATTCTTGCGGCCAAAACTGATATTGCTGGCGGGCTTTGAAGTCTCCGAAGAACTTGACGCCCATTTCGGGCTGCTGTACGTAGTTGGTGGAGTTTTGCAGTCCGAAAACGTACGCGGAAGTAAAGTCGGTGGTGATGGCGCCGAAGACAGTGTAGAACTCGACGGGCTGGTCGGAAGCGGCCAAGACCTTCAGGACGGGAATGAAACGGTCGTCGAGCAAGATGTTGGCGATGCGCTGCATGGACGGGCTGCCTTGCACGGTCGACTTTGCGTAGATGTTCGAGACCATGCGCTTGCGCCTGCTATGCGCCGCGTGCTCCTCCATGGCGAACATGGGCTTGACGCCGTAGTTGGAGAAGACGTTGGAGTACCAATCGCCCTTCTCGAAGCCGCCGGCGTAGATGACGCGCAGGCCACCGTCGACGGAGTTGACGGAGACTTCATTGGGCGCCAGACGAACGATTGGTCCGTAGTCTTGGTGAGCCTTGTGTACAGCAAAGGTGTCTCGTCTGCAGCGACGGTGGTTGAGGATCCACAGTCTGGAGAGGGGAGCGGACCAATGGGCGTTGGGAATGCCGGCGAGTGGGCTGAAGAAGACTGGGTGGACGATGTGTTTGTAGAGGGCGAAGAGCAAAGCCAATGCCACAGCAAGGGCGGAGAGAGGGATGGTCTCGAGGACGGAGAGCAATGCCATGATCTTGGAGGGCGAGCAGGTGGTGTGTAGGCGGCAAGCTGGTATCAAGGATGTATCTTGGGCGGGGACAGGCCAGGGCAAACGAGTGGGGGGGGGCATTTGTACTAAGAGTGATTGATGGCACTTGTGGCCCTAGATGCCTTCGCCTCGGCGGGGAAGGGGCTCATGTGTCGTTGGGCCATGCCGGGGATGTCAGCACTGCTGCATCCATCCCGCAATGCCCGATACGGCAACATTCATGAGAAAATGTGTCACGTGACCGCTGCACTGGTGATGGCACGCTTAGCGATACGCAAGGCAACAGCAGAAACAACTTGGTACGTGATCGGGAATAGTGCGAGTAGATGCATGTACGCCCATCACCAGTCAACGGGGAATGACTACCTACCTGAGGGAAGACTGTAGAGGCCGTGCATGCGACCTTCGGCGTGGACGGGATATGGAGGTGGATAGCGAGCTGACGTAATACTTTGCATAACGTCAAGTGTCAACCGCACGTACCTTCGATACATACCTCCGACTGTGCATATTTGCTTGAACGTGTCCCTGCCTCATCTCGGCCTCTGCCAATGGAATGTCGACTTCGCCGCTCACCAATCTCCCTCCGGAGCTGCTGGACCATATCATCGCCCACATCGACTCGGCACGTCCGATTGCCAATCTAGGAGCAACGGGCAAGAAACTGCGCGCCTTCGTCGAGGAGCGTGCCTGGCGCACTTTCACCGCCCATCGCTTCCCTACTCTGGCACCCAATCCCCCGCTCAATCCTGCGCTGCCTTACAGCGATGTGGCCAGGTCTCTGACAACTCTGTCCCAAGCCTGGGATCGGAGAGCCTTCGTTGCGAGGTACATCGAGCCTAGTGGCAACATCCGTCTCCTCCCGCAAAATCAGACGACCGATCGATGGAGGAAGCCGCGCGGCCAGACGATCGGCTTCACCCCGCAATTGGACTGTTTCGAGGAGGTCGTCGGGTCTTCGTGGTCGGCGAGAAACGAAACTCTCGCCTTCAGTGCTGGCGCTGGCGCTTGTATCCGTGAGCAGACACGCGGCAAAGACGGCGGAGACCACGTTCAGTGGATCGTATATCGTCCGCAGGGTGCATTGGAGGGCATCGATGATGTCACCAGCCTGCATTTGCTCCATCCGAACGGACGTGAAGAGCCGAGTCGTGCGGCACTCGGCGTCATCGTAGGCACGGCAAATGGCAATCTGCAACTATTGGACCTGTCCAGCAACGATGGAAACAACGGCGTCATGACTCGTTTTGTCACCGATGGCCGGCCCGTACGCTCGAGCAGTGTGATACAGCAACCCAACAAACCGAGATTGCTGGCTGCCAACATTGGAGAGGCTCGCGTGTCACTGTACCACGTCGACCCAGCACGGCCGCGAACCGCCCCGCTTGATTCGATTGACATTCCACGCCAGAACGGCCAGAGGACTTTGAGGGGTTGGTCGTCGAGCTTCCTATCATACGACCATCTGGCTGTCGGCCTGGGCCCAAGCGAGCGGCCCATACAGATCTACACCGTCCACCCTAGTGGTATGAAAAAGGAACCCTTGCGCAAGTTAAGCCTATCCCACGCTGCAGAGTACAAGGCGGATGATATTTCATCACCAGACTCCATGAAGAACCCGACGTCGTCCATCTATCCAATCGTATCCCTTCCAATGGCAACACACTCGATGGCCGGCAGTGTCGAGGGACAGATCTTTCTCTCAGGCGCCTACGATGGTGTCATCCGCCTCCACGACTTGCGGTCTGACCGAGATGTCGAGCAAACGTACACCGACCCAACTGACGAGAGCGCCATCTACTCTCTGCTACCCCGCGGGCGCGAATCACTGATGGCGGGTACAAGCAGGCATAGCCTTCTGAAAGTATTTGACCTGAGACTGGGGGCAAAGGCGTACTCTTACCAGGATGCTGCCAATCCCAGGACGGTCGACCGGGGTAAATCTTGCGATTGGAACCTCTTCCTCAAACCACACAGCGCGACTTACCCTGGACGCGGCGGAGGAAACAACTGGGCTCGCCGCAGCGCGGAATCCAGCGTCTACAGCCTTGCATCGCCATCGCCGTCCAGTCCGTTTATCTACGCAGGCGTGGAGAACGCAGTGGTGGAGCTAGCATTCATGTCTGTGCTCGACTCGCATCCCGACCCGGTCTTTGGCACAAGATTTGTTGACGGGAGGTCCAATCGGCTCGCGAGTGGCCTACGTCCGAAGGAGATCTTCGACCTCGCAATGTACGATCAAACCGCGGAGATGATGAAGCTCAAGACGCAGCGGAGCCTTTGGGAGACATTCCGAGTGCAAGGATCCCCATCGAATTCCTTCATTGGTGCACTGCCTGGGTTAGACGAGCGATGGAAAGTGGTATCCTCGTGAACCTTGCAGATCCGGGCTACGTACCATTTACGCCTTCACGCATCCTTCCCGTGACTCTAGGCTTGCCGAAGCGTTGCGTCTTTGGAGCGATGGAGCGGCTTACTGCAGCCGAGACTTGGCGGTCGACAGTCCTGTAGCTAGTTCGGTACATCTAGAGCATGTACTGCCTATGTTTGCACCTGATTGTTCATGTTGCGATCCTGCAAGGTTGCAATCACGTGCGGCGCTAGTGGTTGGAAATGTTGACTGTCGGGAAATTCGTTGCAATCCTTACGCCGAACCTCATGTCTACTGTACCGTCAAATCTCCTTACGCGAACCTCATTTGAAGAGCGCGTTCCCCGCTATACAGCACTGTACGAGTAACGGCCGAGCAGATGATATTGAGCAAACTGATTCTTCCATCCTTAAGCTCTTGTCGATTGACGGGGTAGAGACAGGCAGACTGTGCAAACTCCCCTCGTTGTCCCCCGAGCTCAGCCTCTAAATCGACATCACTTTATCTTGCATGCGCCTGCTGACAGCCCAGACGTCGCCTCGAGTCTGACAGAAGCAGTCCATCCTGTTGAAACTCTGCTTGTTCCCTGCCGTGGCATCTAGTTCTCGATTCAGAACACTCAAGTGCGGGTAGGCTAATCTCGACTCTCTTCCGCCGTCTTGGCCATCTCTACCGATTCTCGTCTCCTTCCAAGCTTTAAGGAGATTGTTCTCTGTAAAAGGATGCCACCGCTACAACCAGTTAGAAGCTCCTCGCTGACCGGATTACAGTCCCGAATGGGCAACATCCTCCCTACTGGATGGACTACACTCGGGCGTCCACCATCCGCCCTCACCCTCTACCTGTGCAGAACTTCTGCGGTAGCATCCCCAACGTTCGCAGCTTTACTCATTTCCTTTGCATTTACAGTATTCGCATCCAGACTTCGTCCAAAGGAGTATCAATCGATCTACGCAGATTCAACCCGAAGCGTCCCAGGTATTGTGATGAGCATTCTCTGCCCTTTCACATTCAAAGGCTTTATATCACCTCGTCAATTCCGCTTTGCTCTTCTATTCACTTCCTCTCATCATCTTCTACCGTAATCGTTGAAGTCGACTCCACAGTCACTTCGTCCTCTCCTTTCTTCTATTTCACCCGTTGCGGCGCCACTCGTTTCGCCCAACATGCATTCTCTCATTGTTGCACTCTCTCTTGTAGCAGCTGCCGTTGCAACGCCAGTTGCTGCTCCAGGTCCGCTCGCAGCAGCGGCCAAGCCCAAGCCGGTCGCCAGCTCTTCTGCATACCCTGCCAGTTCTTCAGTCGCTGCCCCAGTCTTCGCCTCCGCCTCCAGCTACGCGGCCCCCTCGAGCTCCTACTCTTTCACCGCGTGAGTCATCGCCGTCTTAGCTTTCGACAATGCAGAAGGCAGAACAATACTTGACTGGAAGCTAACCTTTGTGCCGTGGAAGCCTCCCTGTCTCGAGCTCCTACTCGGACAGCTACTCGGCATCGAACCCAATCTACGCAACCAGCACTTCAGGTGGTGTCGGGCCCTACCCAACCCCTCCAAGCTACGGAGGAAGTCAGGGTGGCGGTTACGGAGGCGGCGAGGGTGGAAGCTATGGTGGCGGTAGCGGCGAAGGCGAGGGCAGCGGATACGGAAGTGGAGGTGATGAGGGCTCCGGCGAGGGTAGCGGGTACGGAAGCGGAGGTGACGAGGGCTCCGGCGAAGGTAGCGGATACGGGAGCGGAGGTGAAGAGGGATCCGGTGAGGGCTCCGGCGAGGACAGCGGGTACGGAGGTGCAGGAGCACCATCGCCTTCTTCCGGCTCTGAGCCAGCAGGCTCGTGGTCCTTCCCAGGCTCGGCAAGCCCACCGTACGGACAAGGGAACCAGGTTTGGAACACCTTTCTCTGGGAAGAGATGTTCCTCTGGTGGCTCCAATACGTCTACACCGGTCCTCTTCCTCCTTACTATACGCCCGGTGAGCCTGGCAGTTGGACCCCATCTTCTGCCACGACTACCACCTCCGGCTCCGGGTCAGGATCGGATAGCTGGATCGCGTGGCAGCCATCCCCGCCAGCATATCCGACTGCGCCGCCTAGTGGCGAAGGGAGTCCACCACCATGGGTCTACGAGCCTCAGCAGACCCATTCAATCCCGTCATACCCACATCCCGGTCCCCCAGGCCCCGTGCCCTCTTACCCAGCTAGCAGCTCTGAGGGGCCGGTGCCTTCCTACCCGGCAAGCTCTTCATACTATCCGTCGTCCTCGGTCTACTCAGCGAGCTCCGCTGCTCCGGTCTCAAGCTCAGCAGCTCCATTCTCTAGCTCAGCAGCTCCGGTCTCGAGCTCAGCGCCCGCGGCGTCCAGCTCAGCAGCTCCGGTCCGACATACACTGAAACATCGTCACGGGCATGGGGATGCAGCCTGACTCCGAGTATAACAGAACATGACACGCCTAGGGTGTTTTTCCTTTCCAAGGGATTTTGGCTGGGCCGGAGGTGTGGACATTCATCGTATATGGGCACGTTCTTCGCCGATGAGATGAAGGAGGTAATTGAGCTTACAATCAGAGGACGAATACGAAGTTCCCGTTCCCAGATCAGTTTAATTCCCCGGCGCTTGCATGCTTCCATCCCCACATACACCACTCGTACGGGGTATGGGCAAGCTCATTCCACTCCTCATCGCCATTCTCGCGTCCTTCTTCGACACATACCAGTTCCGAGGCCTCCATCAATTGCCAGAACTCTCGAATATGGTCTATGTCTGTGAATCGACATGTAAATGTTTAGCACTCGTTTTGCAGGTGCGCAGACAAGGATCAGGTGGGATGTACGCACAAGCCATTCTCAGCGGGTAACACAGGATGACACGAGCGTCGGGGTGTGGTGCAAGCCACGTAAGAATCGTCTTTGTCAAGAGTTCGGGATGCTCCTCGGAGTAGATGGTATCGGCGGCAAGGATGACATGCGCTTTCGTTTGTCGAGGAGACACGATCTGCGTATCTGACTGTTTAGAGTCGAACAGCTGTATCTGATCCGGCTTGCTCCAGTCCAGGCTGGCGCATGAGACCGATTGTCGTACTAGCAGGGCCTTGTTCAAGAGGATATTCCCTGCCAATGCGGGTAGTAACGGGGACAAGTCTGTCAGTAACGTCGGCATCTTCCATAGTATGGCTGCTGTAAGACCAACTAGACCAGTTCCCGCTCCAAGTTCGAGGACATGGCTTCCCGATGCTGGCGCCTCCCTGCCCTTTGGCAAGGATACGGCGAGCTCATGCAAAGCGTTGGCCAGCACAAAGGAGGCGCCCCACGTGGACAGGGATAGATTCTCCGCCCTGGCGCCGGCTTGCTCCGATATATGGACGGGTACAGTCGAGCCTCTCCGATCAGTTTTAACATTGAAAGTCCCGTGCGAACCTATGGGCGAAGCCATGCCATTGACTGGCTTCGCCGCACACAAAGAACCCTAGATCCAAATTCGAAACGCGGTCACGAAGAGTGGTTTCCCATTGAAAGAATGTGGCTTCTGAAGACACGAATGCGGCGATGATGCAGCAGTGAAGAAACGACAACACGTGACAGGCTCGGGTGAATGCACGATGTGCCTGTGCCTGTGCCTGTGATGAAGTGCGCAAGCGCCCGGGCCAGGCTGGGCGGACGGGAGGGAGGAAGGGCGGAGACAGCCGCGGCGATCCCGCCGGACGTCGGCGCCAACTCCTCCAATCATTCCTCCCCCACCGTCACTCGCACCTCGAACTGCAGTGCGGCACACCCTGCATCGCTGGTGAACCCCAATCAACTGCAATCATAGGCCCGGGTGGTGCGAAGTGTTTGTGACGATGGCAGAGTACAGTATCATCTTCCCTTCTCCACAATCTCTACGCTCTTCTTTCACCTCACATTCCCACTGTCCTCCTCTCACTCTCTTCTCCTTGATCACAATGGGCAGAGGTCGGAATTGCTACATCAGCTACACTGCCTTTGTGCTCCTCTCCAACGTCCCTGACGCGACTGCTGGCAGTATCTGGGACGTCCACATCCTAGAAGGCCCTGCCCCGCCCCCCGACAAAGGACCGCCTTTTTCTGCGCACGCAAGCCGTAATCCCGCCTTGATTCCCTACCAGATCATCGGCATAATTGGCGCGTATATTGGAAGTGTGCTTATCGTCGGCTCATTGCTTCTGACCGTGGGCCGCAAACTTCGCAAGAAAGCGCAGAAGATGGCATGCGAGCCAACGGAAATGTTCAAGCCTCAATCCACCGCGTTTGGGAGGAGCCCGACATCACCTACCGGCGGTCGGCACTGGTATTCCCCACGACGCTTAGCCGACAAGCGAAGCATGAGCAGCAGCGTGCAGCCAGTGACCAGCAATCAAGTCTCGCCAGGCCTGGATAGCGTTGCGAGCTTCGACAACAGCGTGCTCGAAGCAGACCGGCGCAAAAGAGAGGCGGAGATGGAGCGGCTGTATGCCGCGGTCCTCGCACAGGACGAGTCGCAGGATCCTGATGGCATAGCCTCCACGGTGCCAACAGTGGACATGCCGCCCGAGTATTCGAGTAAGGCCAGTGTTCGGCCAATCAACTACGATCCGAGCTTACGGCAAGGGCCAAGTTACACCTCTACCCCTCGCGGCTGGGCTCCGGAGTCTCTGGCCCAGGCTATGTACGCAACCGACCCCGAACTGCCATTTGATGCTTCATCGCCCAAGAGTCCTCTACAGTCGGACTACTCGCGATGGGCGCCGTCGCAGCAAGATCACGCCCGGAATGTGTATGCTAGAGGAGACTCCGAGCCGAACTCTGCACGTGCGAAACACTCTCCACGCAAGAAAACGCGCAAATCACTTCGCAACATCAAGATCAGCGGGCCTATTATGCGCGACGACGATGACAGCGGCGACGACCGCACGCCTCTGTCTCCACGATTCTATGCCAATCCGAGTACTCCTCCAGAGCCGCCGGCGAAAGATACCCCGCGCGTCAGGACCTTTCAATCAGGCGGCATCAGCAAGGGTGATCAAGCACGGGACCTGGCGCTGTTGAACGCGCAGATTCCGAGCGAGCAAGTCATGGCGAATGCATCACGGACAGTGCTTGACGCCGGCACCACCCAACGAGCCGGTCCGAGCAGGGTAGGGGCGAGGGGCAATGGTGTGCTGCCTCTGCGCGAAATGAACCGGCAATACGCACAGCAGGCACAGACGTCCCACGCAACCACGTTCCCCCTCTCGCCCGGGCATTGGAATGCCACATCGCCCACGCATGGCAAATATGCCATGAGCGCGGGCCCGGTGAAGACTACATTTCTCGAGGCTCGTCGGGACCAGTTCGCAGGGCCGCGCACGGGATTGCCCACGCCGTACAGTCCGTACATGCCGTTCACGCCTCTGACGCCGGTGACGCCTCACCTGACGAGCAAGGCGGAGCGGAAGCAAAAGGAAAGGGAGGAGAAGAGGTTCCAGAAACCGATCATGGAGGAGGATGCGGTGGCGGATGAGAAGGAGCTGTGGAGCTCGGGGTATTAGATACCTTCCCTGTAGTAGGTCGGCACACTGGGACGATTGTCGAGTGTCGGGGGGAGGGTAATCATGAATGTGTATCTCGCACAACCTCGATTACGCCAAGACGCAGCACGCGTTGCGCTCCAATCGGACGGCAGCGCAAAGTCGATATGGGCTTATGGGCGTGGCGCCGAGATGATGACGGACTTGGCGGGGGAGTTGGAGGGTGGTGCGTGTGCCAGCTTTGCAAGTCGACAGACAGGTTGCAGGATGTGAACATCATTACCTATCATAGTGCGTGATGTGTCTTGTCAACGTCAGCTTCAGCAGCACTTTATACCGGAATTATTCACGCGATTACGCGGGCGCCACGGAACCTTCGGCTGCCCTCTTCCCCGACGACGTGGCCTTGGCGAAAGCAGGGTCCGAGTCGAGTCGAGTTGTGCAAGTGGTCTGCGGGATGGGGGCAAGGACCACCACGTGACGCCCACGCCGAGTGAGAGGGATTTGCTGAGCAAATTGAGTAAGCCGTCGAGGGTTGTATACACAAAGGATAGGCCGTCAGGATGGGCAAATTGCGAGGAAGGGCGAAGACGAGGGTGTCGCGATTGGTCTGTTCGGATGCCGGATTGGGGTAGGCGGGATGCAGGGCTGGCAGTCCCCCGGTCATCTTCCCTCAGCCTTCCGCTTCCCGGAAGCGAAATCTGGCGATAGCTGGGAATGGGGAATGGGCTGACATCCTCGCGCCAACCTGCCGCCTGCCTTGGCGATCTCTCTCTCTCTCTCTCTCCCCGCCCGCTTCCATTCGTCTCCCATCCTCTTCGTCACCACTCCTCCACCCACCATAGCACACATGTGCTCCTCCCCCCCATCGCCCTCGCCCTCGCGTCGCCGGTAAAGGCAGCAATGGCGGAGATCGAGCCGGAGAGGGACCGGCCGGCATCCCTCCTCCCGCGATGGCCCAGCCTGTCCGCCAACCTCGTCACCATTCTCAATCCCTTCGCCGCCGACGCCAACAACAAGCCTGCGCCCGACGCCAGCAATGCCGGCCCCAAGCGACCCTCATTCATCTCCAGCTTCTTCTCCCCGCAACCCCCCTCCCAATCCTCCGACCCGCGCGACGACGATGACTCGATCATGTTCGCCGAGCCCGACACGCGCAGCAACAGTGACGAAGGGTCACGCGAGGGCAGCGTGGACGACGAGGTGGCGCGCAAGGCCAAGAGGTGCAATCGCCCGAAGACCTCCTACAGCATCTGCCATCCGCCCCCGGCGTCGACAACGCGCCAGAAGCTGCACCGCCGTCCCCGCTCGCTCCTCCAGCTGCATCGCCTCTCCTCCCACGCCCGACCGAGCCCGGCCTTCGAAGTCATTCCCAGCGCCAACTACAGCGTGCGACTGACCCGAGCCATCACCAAGCTCTTCCCCACAAGACACGCCCGCTGCGCGAGTGATTTGGTGGTGCTGAAGGCCGAGGCATACTCATCCCTCGAGTCCGACGAAGAGCGGGATGCTAGCGATATCATCGCGCTCATCTGCACGGGACGGAAAGACGACGCACATGCGGGCAGCCGGGCCAAGATCTGTTTTGCCGACGGGCGGGAATGGGAGGCGTACACCACCCTGACGGGCGGGTACGAATTGTTCACTACGGATGAGCATGGGTTGGGCGTCACGGTCAGATGGGTACCCAAGAAGTGCAAAGAAAGCGGCAGGAAGAAGTTCAATTTCTCCACCATCTCCCCCAATAGTCGGCGACACCCGGTCATCGCGACCCTCGACCGGGCGCGAGTGGACATCAACGACACCTTCAAAATCCCCAATGCAAGCGCCGCAACTCCACTAAGCACGCCAAGACAAGCCGCGACTCCCCTAGCTGACACGATGGCGGAAGAGGCAGAAGAGACGGATCAGTGTGAGACAGACGATCGCCTGCGGGAAGTCATTGCAGTCTCGAGTATGTGGGTCACTTTCAAAGAAGGCTGGTCTCCGACGTTCAAGTACGATGAGAAGGAGAGAGACATCGTGCCATCATTGCCGCGGTCCCCCAGCCTCCAGGCAACGCCGGCGAGGGGTGGGGCCTCGTCGACCTCTCTCGTGCCCAACTCCCCGGTCCCGTCCGGCTCGGGGTCGCCTGTGCTGGAGAAGCGCATGTCTATGGGAAGTTCGAGCTCGGTCAATCTATTCCGCAAAGGCAGTATATTCGGCCGGTCCAACCCACAATTGATCACGAACGACGACAGTGGGTCGGCGCCGCCCTCGCCCAATCCTCAAAGCCCGACAAAGACTGGGCGCTCTAGAGCGGATTCGGCATCTACAGTGCTCGTTCACCGCGCAGCCAGCAACCGAATGCGCAATACGGCGAGCACGCGACCAGAAGGGCTGGCGTCGCAGCCAGAAACGCGAGAGCCTTCAAGCCCGGTCGGAGCGGCAGGTGTGCACGTGGATGACGGAGGCCTCCCGCTGCGGAAGGCGGAGTCTGTCGCGCGGCCCATCCTACCCCCACCTCCAGAATCTCAGAACAGTGTGGATGGGCGAGGTGGGAGTAAGTCGAAGAATGGCAGCAGCGCGTCGCGCAGCAGGCAGCTCAAGAGTGCAGAGAACGGGAAGCGGGAGGGGAGTGCGACGAGCGACAACACCACATCCTCGAGAGGCGCGTTGAACAAGCCGCCACTCAAGCCGGTCAAGAAGAAGAAAGGCGGGTTCAGGAGACTACTGTGTGGCAATGGGTAGGATGATCGATTGCGCTGCAGCAAACCTGCGGGCCACTGTACTAATAGGAATGCTACCTGTACGTGAACAGACACAAGGAGCTCATGGCACTTACCAACAAGTCCCGCTCTCACCAATCATCC